AAAATAACAACGAATGCTCAGTCATCCGTGGCCACAGACACGCAATCAAGGTATCATTAGAAAGAGGACACATTGGTGTTTCACATGATCTTTAACTTATCTGAAAATATTTATTAGATTTTTTTATAATTTACACTTACATTTGGTTTTATTATTTTTTGATAGGCCTACACCCTGTACATTACATGTATCATATTGTACAGTGTATCCATGTGTTCATGACAGATACTGTACATTAATTGTATTAAAAAACACACTCCTACTAGTACATGTACACATGAACAGCTCTTTGCCTCAACTAAATAAATGAGGATCTTTTTCGTACTTACATGTAATTAATGTGCCTATTGCACACGTACGTATGCACATGTACATGTACATGTGTATACCGTACACTGACTGTACAAGTAACAGAGCTGCATGCTACAATGTAATATCGGTGCGCCTCCAGCATCCCAAGGCTTAAATCTAATTTTCTCAAAATCTGCAGCAGATAGGTCTTGATTTAATTTCCGTTCAATGAGGAAGTTTATATGGCAAATTTGGCCCGCTAAAGGGCCATTTAGGTGTTAGATTAGGCTCCCAATAATCAATAAGACTTCAAATATTACTTGCTCAGTGTGTGCTTCATGTTATGTAGCTGTTTGCCGCAATTTTTTTTCCACAGATGTTATTACTCCTGCTAGCAAAGTTCTATGACACAGCTATACATACTCCAGAAAATCTAGAGGCATTTCCCTAATACAGTTCAGCTCCTAGTAAATGCCACTGACTTACATGTACTAATGTACAGTAAAAACAACTCGTGTGTGGTCAAAAACACAATGCATGCTGTACACATATCCAAGTCACAAAAGATTGTTGGAATGAAGTCTTGGTTCCAAGACGTCCTATGCAGTGCGATGTTTCAGCGTCTGCGTGCACGTGTTTTTGGATTATGCAGTAATTTACCGAAGCAGGTACCCTTAACACACATACCAACAGTCCGCAAACGACGTCTTGGGAATCTTGTCTTTCTGCTCAGGAAATTCCGAGCAGAATTGTGTGTGCATTTCCATGCATGCGTGACTTAAGCATGTCTGGTTTCTGTACATACTGCAACTTGCAAACATACATTGTACATGTAAGTGTCGTTGGATAAAAAGTATTGACCGCGTGGGCGAAGCAGTCAATTTGGCAGCAAAGACACTGGGCCTTGGAAGGCATAAAATCAGTGCTCTTCATCAATTTGGACATGGCCATGATTCGACCAAACCGTAAGGTCAATGCGCCTACTGCCATCGATTGCATGTGTACGGTACGTCGCCTAACTAATGGTTGTCAGAACAGCTCTATTGTCTTCATCAATGCGCATGTGCTTGATACATGAAGATCCTGTACAAACAGGCTGAATTACCAAAAAAAACGATGTGATAAAACGAAAAAAAATAAAAATAAATGTAGTAGGCTTCTTAGGATTACCAAGAGCAATCCACAAACCAAATTTGAAGTTCATATATGGAGTATTTCAAGTTATCGCGCTGACAAGATTTTTCGGGACACAAACACCCAACCACGCATCTACATGTATTCAGCTATTGTCACATGTAATCCTCATTCCTTTATTTGTACTAACTTTCTAGCAACAGCTAGCTCTCATTGATTTTGTACGAGAATTTCAATCGTGGACATCGGTCAATCGTGGACCCTTTGTTTGTGTCCCTAGTCCGGAATTTGCCAGTGTTTACATACTCACACTCTTTTATTTATATAAATCAAGGATTTTCTTTTGTTTCTGTTCCCTTTTCCTTTGTTTATACTAACTATTTTGCAACAGCTCTCATTGGTTTTGTACACGTTTTCTAATCGAGGTCGTCCTCGATTTGGTTCCTGTCCTCAATTCATCGATGATGTTGCACGGTGTCCTCAATTTAATGTACACCATAAACCTACTCATCCACACACCCACCCACCCACGGAAGGACAAGGCGGAAGCAGTATGCGCCTTCGGCTTCACCGAGGGGCATAATAGATTCCCAATGATTTCATAAAAAAAATCAAACCATTTTTAAGGGTAAGGACTTGGCAATGTTTGCAATGTACGGTGGTCCACCTAAACGTTGTGGTGGATGTCTGATGAAATATGATTAAACCAAATAAAGATGGAATGGAAATTGAATCACACAAAGTGGTTCATATAATTCCCCATATGTTCCCTCTCTGATCTTCTCCTCTACAGACAGACCCAATTATGCATCCCAGCCTGCACACTATGATTGTCCATAATGTCTTCTAGAGACATTCCAACACCAAACTCAGTCTCATGGGGAAACCCATTAATCGAATGATGTATGCCTATAAATATGCACGTCTGTTCACGGCAAAGTATAAACAGTGGGCAAGCAGATTTTTAGAAAGTATGTACATGTACGTACGTGCTAGTACATGATGTGGATGTATTGTACATGTTTACAGTTTACATGTATTCAGTTTACATGTATTCTGCATGTAATTTCTGTATATTTCAGCACTGGGTGTTGGCTCCGCGTTTTTCAGTTTTTGCCATTCATCACAGCTTTGAAGGCTTGACTACTACATGTACGTACCTACTGCGCGGTGCTCTATATACGATCTTCGCCTACTACAATGGCGAAGCTGACTTTCCCATACCCGGATGTGCTGTTTTAAACCAGACACTGGACATTTGCCTAGCTAAAGAAATCCACATTCTGACAGAAAGCCAGGCACAGCACAATAATTATCCAGATCAAATACTAGCTACATGTATATATTCTTCTTTATGGTTGTCAATGACTGGCCTAACTCCCAGTCATTCCTCTCCAACATTAGCTTAATGCTTGTTGCACCAACTGGTATTGATTGCTCTGAGTGATGGCCTACTTTTGCCTAAAAGAAGAAGCCAAACCTGCCAGCAATTAGAATACAATGCATCATCCTTCATGAAATCAGTGATGAGCTCTTAGACAAAGAAAAGGGTCTCTAGCTAATTAATTAAGGAGAACGGCAATGGCAGGGGAGTTTCTATTCAATGATACCTGTATGTATGGTACATGTACGTCAGAACACTTATATGTTAATGAGAGATACCGGTAGACGTACGTGTACGTGAACCAAGTACTGGTAAGAGGAACGGCCCTTGAGACAAAAGTGATATTTAAAACGTGAAATGTACTGTTATCCTTTTCTCTTAAAGTTGCACTCGTCAATTTATGGTACATACATGTGCATATTACAATGTTTGTTTATGTTAAGCATGACAAATTGTTCTAAATCATACCAGGAACTTTCAAGCCTGTACACAGTACCGGTATGTACAATTGTACATGTAAGTATCATGACATTTGTCAATATGCTACACTCAACCAAAAAAGAAAGTCCCCCCTTAATACCTTTTTTGTGTAACTCAAAAACTACTGGGCACATCTTGCTCATATTATGACTGATCAGTACAAAAATTCCTTAGCAATCCAGCCATTGAACTCTTTGTTTGGCCCAAAACAGTGATAATGTGTACAAAATTAGGCAATTTATGACAAATGGTACCGAAAAAAAAATGCACTTTTGCATACGTGCAAGGTGAATGTGAACCACAACTTGCACGTAAACCAAAGTGCAACTGTTTTCGGTATCACTTTTCATAAATTGCATAAATTTGTACACATACATGTAATTACTGTTTTGAGCCAAATAAAGAGTATGGCTGGATTGCTAAGGAATTTCTGTACCGATTAGTCGTTATTTGAGCGAGAGGTGCTCAGTAGGTTTTGAGTTAGACAAAAAAGTATTGGAAGGGGGACTTTCTTTTTTGGTTGAGTGTATATTGGCGGATATGTGACATCCCCGAAATTCAGAAATTAAACAGCACTTTGGCTTGCCAAAACAGATCAGTAAAATTCAATGTCTACCCGGTACATGAACGTGCATTTACATTGTACTTGTAAAACCTTATCATTTGATTGGCGGTTATCTGATATCTTACTTGCTATCATATATTGGTACCGGTACTTGGTAATAAGGTTACCCCAAAATACTCGGTAGCTATGATACATGCGCACATTTAGATGTAACTAGGCATTTATTGCATCATACAGACTGCCTACATGTACATGTACAAACACAGATAAACACTAGTGCAGTGCCCATTCAAAACGTGCCTGTTTGGAACGGGCAAGTTGCTTGGTGTCCGGTAGACCCGCAAACAAGGTACATGTAGTATAGAGTGCAGTGCCCGTATAACAGCGTGCCATATCTACACCTCACTGTTGCGCGATCGTGCCCTTCAAAAAATGGTTGAGGCCCACCTCACCGTTGCGCAATCTTCCCCCTTCAAGAAATGGTCGAGCTCATACAGCCAACCACCATTTGCATGTGTGCTAACCCGTATAGAGTGCAGTGCCCGTTCAAAATGTGCAGCAGTGCGTGGCGTGGTCTATATACACGTTTGTATGGTGTGTATGTAGGCCTCAGAAAATGCTGCTTTTTTACAGCTTCTTTGAGAACTGCTGATCCAAAGAATTTTAAACTTGACACTGCACATTCTGGAGTGCTGAGCAATACACCTGCTGATTTTCAACTTCATACAGTGCCCGGTTCTGGAGATAATCGAACTACAGACAGACACGGCACGTGGCCACCCTAATGTGGCGCAATAGATTTTTCACCCCTCTCTAGTGCCTTGCTTACAAATCAAATGTAGGTGCTCTTAGGTACTGTGTGATGACCAGTAGTATGATTTACAAAATTACAAATGAGTAACATGTAAATGTACAATGCAATAATGTAACACAAAAATCCCAAATGAATCCCACAGAATCCATATTTTTTTTCAAATTGTGGGCATCAAATGATCAATTTGCATTTTTATGTATGAAGAAAATGATTACAGATACTTTTTTATACAAAATGGTCTGCCACATATAAAAGAAATTTAAAAATCAACTGACCAACAAAAACAAGTTTTAAAGGGGTTTAGTCATTCAAAGCACACGAAATAAACTCACCTGTAATTTGACCTTTGACCCATCTATGTCTACAACTTTGTTCTGCAAATAAGAAAAAGGCATAAAAAGATATGTTAATTACATTATGAAATATTTTTCTCAATAAATGCACACTATATGTATGGTACATGTATTAATGCTAACCTCATATGATTTATGCCAGGAACTTTCCCAAATCCAAGATCTTAATTTTTTTGTGTCAATTCTGCTTGAGTTCCTCACCCTTGATCGAATTAGAACGTTTCAAGTTGATGTACTTTGTACGTAAATTCAGGTGTTAAATAACACGCTAAATTTATGCAACTTTCCAAACCAAATCATTGAATCCAACGTTTTATTTGCAAAGACGAGAAATCCTCCCCCCCCCCCTTCCCTCGGCTAAACAGAAACGGAAATAGCACTGAGGAGCTGACGCATTCCAGAATATCTTCCTGTTATTCAGGCACCAGCCATCTTGTATCAACAAACAACCGATCCCAAGGGCTGAATAACGCTGCTGGGAGAAAATTGACTTCTTAATACATTTTGTCCGCTTGTGTTAGTTACAATTGGAGATTGCCATTTTGCAACCAGGAGTCGCTCGATGGTTTAAGAGATAATTGCCAAGGATTTGATTCTGGAATACGTGATTTGTATTGGGAGTGCCCAGTAAAATGCATTGATTAATGCAGTATTTTAGATTTGTGCATTATGTACATGTAAATCACTAAATTTTAGCGGCGTACAATTAGAAAAAACCCTAACATACCTAATCATGAACCTTAATGCACACAATGTTTAAAGTATACATTCATGCATTTCAGCAGACATGACATATTGATTTTCACCAGAATGAAACACACACGCACACGCGCATACAGCATGCTAAAAGTTTACTGACCTACTGTACATGTATAATGGATTTATGAACAACTTCATGTTCAGTATGCATTTACATGAACTAAATCAGAACAACATCAACATAATGTTGGTACATACCATCTAGGACAAAATGTCATGATTTTTTAATTTCATGTGTACACAAATGTACATGTACATTCACTGAACTGAACAGTGTTGTGTTTATTTACAAAACATGTACACTCCCTCCAATAAACATAGCACAACTGTCCATACATGTATATGTATGTTGTGGTCATGTTGTATCAATAGTATACAAATACTGACTGCTTGGAAGTTGGAGTGTTGTAGTAAAACTATATAGCCACCCGAGGTGATCCATGGACATTCTATTTTCCGGAGGCTAAGCCGAGGGAAAATAGAATGTCCATGGATCACCGAGGGAGGCTAGTTTTACTTCACCACGAGATAAAGCATTCAATATTGTTTATAACACTTCACCCACAGATTCTGCTTGGCTTTAATATTTTAAATTATTTCAATCTGAACACAGTTAAAATCAACTACAATTTCAATACCAAATTGGTGGGAAATGTATTTCGCTCTTCCAAACTACCCCTTCACGAAATGTTTGAAACCCAACTCTGTGGCGTGCTCTCTTGGGAACAAAACACGCTACACGCAACGCTCAACGCGTGTACAACCAGCATGCATTTGCACACAAATACCGCACCATGGGTATAGTACTTTGGTTGCTAATGATATAGTACTTTGGTTGCTACGGGTATAGTACTTTTGGCCGTGCACAGAAAGATAGCAAAAATAGAAAGTACCATGTGACTCGCTCTCGGCCAATCAAGACACAGAATCTGTGGGTGAGGTGTTATAATCAATACTATAGCACTGAGTTTGACGGCCCATTCATGACTGGCCATTCTTATGGCCAATAACTAAATAAGAATGTCCGTCATCCTTTCGACAGTTTCAGTGCCAATGGCCGTGACACAAGCTGAACAAACACTTTGGTCAGGTAAACACCCCGGGATACATTACTCATCCGAAGCAGCTGGATTTATTCAAATTGTGAAATTAATTTAGACAGAATATTACTTGAGTTTACAATGTACCGGTATAATGCAGTGATTCCATGCACTGTATCAATTACGAGCTACCGGTTAGACATACGTGTGTGGCTGAGCCAGCTCCCTGGATAATTATGCAAATGTTCTTTGCTTACAAATGTACATGTAGGTTAAATTTTAGAAAAATCTAAATATCAGGAAAACTACTGAAAATTTCCCAAATCCCTCTCCCAGTTTGTCAGAAAATAACCAACCTCAGTCATTTTCCATATATATGCACATAGATCTCAATTACTGCAATTTGATTTTTATTGTATGTACATGTACATGTACATGTATACACATACATCACTGGTTTTTCTATTACATGTATGTATGTACCGGTAGCTTCTCCAATATCTGATGTGTACAGTGCGTGCTACAAACTTACATCTAATAACGTGTGGCATTAAAGGCCTGAAACGGATCAAGGTCACTGGTCATTTCAATCACTTATGACACACTGCCAAGGCTCAGTTGATATACTGAGCAAATTACGTACCATTAACACATGTGTGGCAGGTCTACAGATACATTGTAATAAAAACCTTGAACTGCTATAAATGTTTGTTTTAACATGCACACATAATACGTAAATGTATGGATGTGATGAACACGTACATGTACACATATCAAATCTTAAATGTGGATCAAAAGTGTACGTGTATAGCTGAAAAAGGCTCACAAGCAGTTGACTGTTATACATGTACCTGTATTTTTGCAAGGCAAATATTTTGTGACACGTGGAGCCTTGCATTTCTTGAGGAGGTAATAATTGTGAAGTGCTTTGAGACCTTTGGTAAAATGCTCATAATGGTAAACACCACATTCTAATAATAATTATTATTATTACGTATTGGAACGACGCACACGCGCGCGGTTGTTGTAATTGGTCGGATCAGTGCGCGACATTGCGTATAGCTGCAATTCAAAACAATTCCAAACATAATTCAGTAACTTTTGATTTGAAATTGAGATCTTAGAATGCTGTTTTTCTCGGAATGTACAGCTGAAGCTTAGCTGAAACTTCATCAGGTTAGTTGTTCAGTATCCTTCATTAGATTTTGAACTCTTTTGTTGCTTCAAACGAACAAAATGCACAAATTACAAATGATGGACTGTAGCTTTAAACATTTAAAATTGTCCATGCTTTTCCAGACAACAGAAGGCGCTGTTGCTGTGATGTCATTTCAGGAAGACACTGTTCAATTCAGGGTTTTCAGTTCAAATTGTGAACCCAACATTTATGACAGCAAAATATCAAAAATCCCGGAATGCCATCACAGTTTTGCTCATGAATATGGAAATTTGCATTAGCATAAAAACCCAAAAGGCTTCAAAATACCCTTGAAAATGGCAAAATGAAAATAGGGTTAAAGTTAAAGTCAATCATTTGCAGCCATCCGAAAAGTAACTGGCGTAATTATTGTTGAAAAACATACTTGGTTGAAAGATAGTAAGTGGAGTAAACTCCCTGTGAAATTAATCTTTCTGGCAAGCTATCATTTTGAAGTAATCAACGAAAGAAGGCCTTTCCAATGGTGCGTCTTGAGACGCACCGTAGGAAGGTAGTTTTCCAAACTCGTTTTGTTATTTGGCGCAGCGCATGCAAGCAGGCACGCGCGGTTGCTATAATTCGTCAGTTTAGTGCGCGACATCGCGTATAGCTGCAATTCAAAACAATTCAAAACATGATTCAGCAATTTTTGATTTGAAATTGAGATCCTAAAATGCTGTTTTTCTCGGAATATACAGCTGAAGCTGAGCTGAAACTGAGCTGAAACTTCATCAGGTTACATGTAGTTGTTCAGTATCCTTCATTAGATTTTGAACACTTTTGTTTCTTCAAACGACTGTATCTTTAAACTCTGCATTTCCTGACTGCATTAAAAAATTACACTGCCTGAGCCCTTTAATGCTACAATGTACATGTGCACAATACAAAGCATCAGGCATAAATAGTGCCATGTTTCTCCATGCATAACTACCGGTACACATGTACCGGTATATACATTTACATGTACATGTACTATGCAATCTCTGATGATGATCCTCCCAAGACTAATTATCCTCAAGGTCCCTGAATCTCCAGATAGGGAAGTATTTGATGAGCTCTTGCCTCCCATCATTTCCGTCCCCCCATCAAACCTATATGTGACTGGGGGCCTGGCTCAAACCTAGTACCTCCCCAGGCCCTGCATCCCACGCTCAATAGGCATCACCGGTAACCGACTACATTCAATGGTAACTCACTACACTGGTTGTGGGGCCAGCCAACAGCTAATCAGTAATCGACACCTCTTTACAGCGGGCTAAAATGATTGCCCAGCCGTGCCCTCTCCTTGGGGTATAGCTGTGATAAGAGAAAATATGGAATGACTCTGTGATTGGGGGGGGGGGGACTTGTGTCGCTTGTGTCTGGAAATCTTACCCTTTAGCATCGCGCAATTGTGAGTCAGTTATAGAGCTGCAACCTAGAAGATACATGTAACTTTATTTGGAAAGATAATGTACATTTTGTATACAAAGATAACAATTTGAGTGAGAAAATGCTGAAGTTTCACCCCAAAGCACAACTGAATTCATTCAATAACATTTCTTTAGTTTCATCTACAGTAGATTATCGCTTCAACATTTCTTGACTTTTCTTGTGTTCATCACCTCTAATCTACATGTAAGTTTAGCACAAACACATGTACAATTTGTAAATGGTACATATTGTACATTCATGTTGCAATTAATGTGACATTCAATTCAGTCCAAACACATCCTGACACCCTTTTATATTATTTGATATACTTATGTACATGTACCGGTACAGTGCAACCAACTGTACATGTAACACTTCATGACGACCTTTTCGAGACTACAAATGAGCCAGCTCAAGTTCAAAAGGTTCTATTCCCAGGGTAACTTAAATTCGACAAATGCAGGGTAAGAATTCTATATAATAGAATTACAATTCAAGGGTCATTAACTTTTTAACGACTCCATCTTGCTGCTGGCTACACTAATAGCTTTGGTAACTGTAATATTACACGTACCTGCTCATTTGCATTGGCAAATCCATTCTACATGGAAATGGTACACAAGAAGTGATCATGAAAGATTGTCCCTGAACAGTAAATGGACAGAAAACAACTGACGGTGGCACATTTGCAGGCAAATGATGAGGGTATACGGGTAGGCAGATAAATACTCTGCCAGAATTGATACGATTGTCATTTTTTGGTGATCCTTAAAAAATAAGGAATAAATAAATGCACTTAATTTTTTTGTACACAATACGGTACTGACGTTTTGTATTCACATTAACCCTAACTCGGACTCCCTAGGCATTTTTGCTAGGATGTAGCCTCAATCCTGCAAAATCCTCCAATTGGCCTCATGGAAAAATAGCATATAGCCTCAATCCTGCAAATTCCTCCATTATTTCTTGAATATGGTCCGTGGAGGGGTGATGACCACTCCCTGAATCCTGCAAAATCCTGCGACAGTAGGGTGAAATCTGCACGTACTCACTTCAGCATTTTCACGAAGGGGCGAATTTGCTAATTGGTCGTTTTTTTTGTTTTCACGCACAGCTACTTTTCTTAATTGATTAATTCTGCAAAACTAATCACCTATTTTTCTTAAAGTTTTCTACATTTAGGAAGATCCTCCGATACCTACATGTAAATCTTGCATATTTTATGCATCTTTAAGTTTCAAATTGTTCAATGAAAAAAGGACCAACCTCTTCGTGAAAACGGTGATGATATTATGGTACATTTATACAAACATTGTACATAAGTACTACATCATGTAGTACATGTATGTAGATTACATACATGTAAACATGTACATTGTTTGAAGTTCTAAGTTCTTGAAAAAAAAAATAAAAAAATAATTATGCTTTTCCTGTTGGTCAAAGAAGCATGGTTATAGAATATTATCGAGCCTTAGTATTGACACATGCCTATACATTTAAACCTTACACCATCACGTGTTTGATGTTCTAATCCTCAACACATATTGGTTTAAATAAATATCAGCATTGGATCCATGATACATGTTTCAGAATTATGTAAATTTGTAAAAGCTTTGGCATTTATAGGTCTTTGAAAAAAACAACGAGGCACAGTGTTCTTCAAAGGGCAACCATGCCCTGCCTGTCACGCATGATTGCAAGATTCATACGCTGCATTGAAAATTCCAACACCTTGCGTGAGGTCGTACAGTCTCACAAGGTACATGTAAAATATGCACAAATGCACAGCGTGGACAAAGAAAACAGGGTTTTTTTCCAAGAATATTTCGTGCACAACTACATGCACACTGTACATTTGTACAGGAGGACACATTACACTGCACATTGTACACATACATGTACATGTACATGTACATGTACATGTCCGTGCATGGTACATGTACGAACTGTACATTGTCCATAAACAGCGTGAGATGACAGAATTCTGCTGTGGGTGATTTAATAAGGAAATAAAGGTGTGCTAGGCCAGTTTTAAGCAAGTCCGTTTAAAGCCTGCTAGCTGTTTGATGACCCGAGCCGAAGGCAAGGCTCATTATCCGCATCCAGGCCCCTAGCCACTTTTAAACGTACTTAATTGTATCAAACCAGCAAAGCACATATCTCTTTGATCAAAAAGTAAAAGTAAAAATTGACAAAATTCCAACAATTTTGTTTAACAATTTTACTTCATGTTTTGTTAAACACCCCTCTGACCATGTCTATGGTACATGCCTCGCTAGCGTAATACTAAAAATCTCCTTACATGTATATATTGGCAGTGTGCGGTGCATACTGCGAGATGTTGCGCAGAACGCAGCAGTGTTTTACTGGTGATTTAAAACCAAGTACGTGACAGGCTCTCGACCAATAGGAATTGGTAAACTGTCTCAGGTATTTATGAATTTTGAATAACAAGTATTACCCTACAATAGCTTTTGTAAATACCGTATATATCCAGTGCGTTTCCAACAGTAGGCCTACAACAGATAGAAATCCACAACTGTGTTCAGGCAGGATTTGAATCTGTTTTTTCTCAGTTTGGAGGCATTCATTTTTACATTTTTCACAGTTCTTCTGATCATGTATTTCCCTCCGATGGTGTAATACTGATATGACCTGGCCGGCCTGCAGTTTCCTCTAGGCATGCACCGTGCTGAATTTAAGAGAATTCAACATTAAAGTGTGATGCAGCATCCTGAACACTGCAGAATCTGACAGCATGAAAATTATGGTCTACAAACCTAACTCTCCCATACATGCATGACATGTAGCCTTTAAAATCTGCAAGGTTTAAGAGGATTTTGTACGATTGAGGAATGTCTGTGTTCATATACATACCCAGTACATGTACATGAATCTATCATTAGATGGACTACCCGGTAACATGACAAATTATGTGCCACTGGTTTACCCCTGACCTTCAGAATAGTGGTTTGGGGAGTACATGGAGTATGCTGAAAGATTCCTCATTGCAAAATATGCCGGAAGTTTAGGTTGATGTCCACTGCATAGACCAACCAAATCCAACAGGAATGACCTATTGTTGGATGCATGCTACTGGCTTCAGTAGGGTGCAGTTCATTGGATCATGCGTTCTCCGCTTTGTTGTCCTGAGTGATCAGACTGATTGCCTACCGATCCACTCTCTCATTTTTAAGAATTCAATCCTCTCCACTTTCCCCTCTGTCGTGCCTGTCTAGCCAGGCCATTGGCTGGCATTCCTCGCTTGGCAAATAGTGACGAGTTGACATCCGGCACGTTCAAAGACCAAGCGGTGAAACGCCAATTGGTTTTTCTCTTGGGATGACACGCAGTAATGCTGGATGCTATGTACACAGACACTTCACACGGATGCATTACACTGCACCATCAACTGACATGCAGCACAACAAAAAAATATTGCTCAGAGCACACAGTGTTGACCATGTTTACAGGAAATAAGGTGCATCCTTTAATTTGGTTCATACGGCACGTACATGCTCACCACACCACATCAAGAAATCTACGGTTTTCAGCATTGTACATGGCTAAGTTATTTACACGAAGGTGATGAAACCAGTGAATTTGAAAACAGCCACCAGCATGTTTATCACCCGATATTAAAAAAAAAAAAAAAAAAACAATCAAAAAACGATTGTCCAACTGATATCGTTCTCCATTTTTATTACGCATATACATGTATTTAACTCATGTGACCGAATCACTTTTTTTACTGTACAATACCCTGATCATCCTTTTAACTTTTCATAAGATGGAATTTAGCGTCGGGGTGATGTAAATCAAATTAGGTTTTGCTCTTCACCAATGTATAAACACTGTATACTCAGTGTGTTACCTCCCAAGTGAAAGTCGGAAAAAAATCTCTCGGGTGGGACTCGAACTCACGACCTCCTGCTTTCTAGGGCAGATATCTTTTAACTTTTACTGTTGTCTGCAACATGACATCATGTACACGTGAAAATACACATTGTGACACATAGAAATAACACTACAGACAAAACTCAGGCTAAACTGACAGCCTAACAAACAGACAAACTACAGTCAGGTGCAGACGAGATAAGAACCTGCAATATGAATGAGTCCCTCACCCTAAAATCAATGCCGACTGTGGATATGAAACTTCCCGAGAGGAAGGCACCGTCTTTGAAGCGCACCAGCAAACATGTCTTGCCGACACCCGAATCACCAATCAGCATCACCTGCAGATGAGAACAATATAACACATGTTCATGAAAGGATTTCAAGAGCTTGGTTACACCAGACATTGATCAGGCTTGGGCTACTCCAACATGTGAGGGATAGATTTGGGTTTCTGTTGGATTAAACTTGAACTTGAAAAGAAAGGGAAGCAGAAGAAAAAACTACGAAAGAACCATGTGTGTACATGTACATTAATCACTGCATGAGGTAATTACATACATGTACATGTACACAAGAGTAATCACTCCCTTAATTCGGGCGATTCACAATTCAGAGCGCCACCAAGAGTTTGCCATGGACAGTTCATTTTTCCCAGTGCACGGGAGATGGTCGACAAATTCGCAGCGTGGGACATTTGAAATTGTTAGTTTTTCCGGTCAGTAGTTTCGTTAGCGTATGATTCAAATATGTTCGCCCTTTTCTTTTCTTTGAATCAATATGGTGTTTTTTTATGAGGCGGCAGAACGCTATGCCCCAATCTACAAATTAGCTCAAGTTGTCTACTGACAGTCATTCAAATGGGCCGTGTTTTGTCAGTTGACCGTAAACTTGAAAAATGGACTCTCCATGGCAAACTCTTGGTGGCGCACTGCATTGTGAATCGCCCGAATTGCGACAACATTGCTTCATGTATATAGTATTACAACCTAAAATTTAGGCAAATTCATGATCATCTTCAACTCAAACTCTCCTTATTTCAACAGGAGTTGACCTAAGTAAAGCCAAAACTGACAGAGGTGTTTAAGAAGTCAATTTAGCTGGTCTAATTCCTTGCCACCTTTACCCTGTACATGTGCAATCCTATTGACCCAACCCAACACAATGTGTATCTCATTTTTCTTGTAACTCGAAGCAGTTGCCCAAAGTTATTCAATAATTAACCAACTTACACGTAGATAGTTTTTTAAAAATGTCATTTCAGAAGGATTGCCTACAATGAACATTCTCAAACCCATCGCCTTTGAGCATCAAGCTCAACTTTTTCTTCTAAACAATCTTTAAAATCGTTCTCTTTCAATTCAATATGAACGTGATGAACAAAGCAACCGACAAATTAATTCGGAAGCCTGATGTTGACAGACAGGCTGTCTGCATAGTGACCTCCCCAATTTTTTTCAACACCAACTTGATAAAAAATATGAGAGAAAAAATACATGAAATTGAAATGTTTGGAGTCAGTGACAGGTGACTGCGGCACACTGGCACCTTCCCAGTCACTCCAAGGTGTGGGCACTGTGACCTTATCACCGCCCCCTCACGGTCATGTCAGTTTCAAGAACACCTGCAGAAACAGCAGCAGCAGTAAACATGTGGTTGAACATGTGTACACTGTACATGCACTAAACAATGCGATTTCTTCAAGCGGAATGGGCCATAGAAAATCAAAATACTAATTTTACAAACCACGAATACAAAAACAAAGAGAGCGGAGGAAACAGAATAGGAGATTAACCAACCCCGCCCCCTCCCCCATTTTCTTTTTCTAAAAGATGTACAGTCCGTGCTCTTTAAAGGGAAGATACAACATTTGCAAACATCACAAAACGAAATGATCAAATTATCGCGAAATACCTTACTGGATTGTTGGGGAATGACAGTCTAAAGCAAAATCGTGGCTCCTGATGTGCTGACATTTTTAAGAAAAATGGTATTTTTCCAACGCCGGTTGGCCGACCAGCGTTGGAAAAAACTGGCTATTTTTCAAAAATTGCTCCGAATTTTTCATAATTAGTTATTCCGCATTTTCTTTGCAATTGATTACACACCTGTGAAGAGGTACCGGTACAAGTCTGCTAGACTGATTCTCTGACCTTACAATTCCCCAAAGTCTATTAATTGCTCCGTTTTATCTTATAAGTGGGGTCAGGGAACCAGACTGCAAATACATGATTGGTTTTCTTGGTTTTTCCAGCATCTACAAGCCCAAACGTGAAAAAAGTCATTTTAACAATATTTGCTATAACATACTAATCCTCCAAATCCATTTATTTCTGAAAATTGCAGCAAAAGCAAATGTTGTACAGTCCCTTTAACAGTCCGTTTTCATTCCTGATACATTTCCAACAAATTTGATAAAATTACTTTTTTTTCTTGAGATGTTGCCACCCTTTGAAAAACAGGGGTGGTTTTTTTTGGGGAGGGGGGGGGGGGGGTGCAGTAAACTAAATGTGCAAGAAGTGGGGACTAGTCTAACCTGTGAGAATTATTGGTGGGCCACACATAATGCAAAATTAATTCTTCCGTACAATGTCTCATTCAAAGGTGAATAACTCTTGTCTTGTAATCCAAAAAGGAAATCTAATTTCAGGATGAACTCAACCAAGGCACAGACAGCACATCTTTATTACAATGTCAAAAGCAAACATGAAAAGGGAATCTCCCAGAGCCAAAAAATTCATTCTTTGGAATATTCGAGTACAGTTATTGTCAATTTATACCTCTAGACTAACTGTGATAAATTTGAGGGATGGTGAACATTACCATCGGTGTCTCCCAGTCAACAATATTAAATTGGGAGATCTCCCCAAGATATGACATCCACGATGTACGTAGGCCATAGTGCAATTATGCGTGTACATGTATAGTACAAAACACTTTTTCCATGCATAATAAATGGAGATTTTATCAGGCTTGAGTTGGGTCCATGTATGATTCTGTAAAAGCTACAGTTCAGATTAACCATCTGGAGCATGTGGTTGGAACCGTTTACAGAGAGATAAGAGCAATCAATACAATATCATCAGCAAAAGTACAGATCTACATGTACATGTACAAAATGTACAATGTATGCAGTCTGGAGAGTGTAATGCTGTGTTCCTGGATAAACACAGACTGTGCACCCACTCTTGCTTTACTATACTCTCGAGGACAATGCTTTGTGTTTTCCTTTGTCTCTGTAATATAACACTCTCCCATAGACTAAGCACACAAACCTACTACAGAGGGCCATTTTCAACAAAAGACCCAACTTCCCAATCAGAAAATATTTTCAATTCAAAAAAAGTGCCACTTTTGCATTTGTCCAAGGTCTTTAATACGAGGTTAAATTAGGATTGTTATAAATAGATAATTTTTGGGGTGGGCTCAGTTTTTTATATATATTTTTATTTTGTAATCTTTCTTTTCTTTGTTTGGTTCGTTTTAATTTTTTTGTAGCAATGGTCATTTCTCTTTTTAGAAGAAATGGTAGCCCTGAAAAGGACCGTTTTTCTATTAGGTGTCTACTGTTCTGCTCTGCCTTTTGCTTGGTTGCCTCTTTCATGAAGTCAAGCATCAGTCAAGCGTTAGTCATGCATCAGTCGCCGAAGACAAAATGAAAAAGTGGTATCTTTAATTAGCCACAACTCAATAAGTCTTGAACCGATTGGAATAATGTTTTCGGTGTACATGTATAATTAAAGCTAAAAAATTAAGCTTTATGGACAAATCAAAATATAATTGACTTATGGTTTATAAAGCTGTGAAAAAGACATGAAAGATGGCGCTTTAAAGGGAATATACATCATTTGCTTTTGCTGTAATTTTCAGAAATGGATGGAATTGGGGGGTTGGTAAATACATAGCAAATATTGTTACACTGACTTTTTTGAAGTTTTGGGTTCGAGAATGCTAAGTATAAAAACCAAGAAAAACAATACTTTTCCTGTAGTCTGGTTCCCTGACTCCATTTAAGAAGAAACATGTACATTGGGGAATTGTAAGGTCAGGGAACCAGTCTAGCTGGCTTGTACCCGTTCATAGGTGTATAATCGATTGTAAACAAATGTGATGGTCAATTGGGGCCAGTATTTAAAAAAAAGCCAGTTTTTTCCAACGCTGGTCGGCCGACCAGCGTTGGAAATTGATGCAAAAATACCACTTTTCTTGAAAATGACAGTATACCAGGTGCCATGATTTTACAGGATGCTTTACACTGTCATTCACTAACAGTCCAGCAAGGTATTTCAAAATAATTTGGTAATTTTATTTTTTGATGTTTGCAAATGTTGCATTTTCCCTTTAAGGGTTTTTTTTTTGGGGGGGGGGAGGGACCACCCTGTAGCTGTGTAATGCATGATGCACATCAAACTAGCTCTATGATCAAATGAAACAAAAGGGGCACCTGATGAGATTCACTGTTCACTATAAAATGTACTGTTCTGTCACTTACAGTTTGACTCTGACACAGTTGGCCATAGTACTACATGTAGTAAGAAAACAGAGTTCTGAACAAAAAGTAGGCTTGGCCATGTTTAATTTGTTTTTTTATCTTCGTCTACCTCTCCCCCTCTTTCTTTTTCTCTGCACTCGATTCCGCTGTCAGTATCGGCGACCAAATAGCGTTTTTGTTCACCTTATAGTGCACCCTGAGCACAAGTCAAACGATGGCACTTCCTTGCCAACGAACCATAAAGGCATAAATAATACGCGTGAGTTCCAAGCCATGCCCTGCAAACTGTGTCTGGTGCTCCGTAAAAGTGGCCTAATTCCATCGATTTGCAGCTCAAAAAATGATCGTGAATACAATTTTTATGATGTCTCAGCTTCTTTCCTCCGGGTTGTTTAGTTGTCCTCATATCCAATTTTTCCAGAAATTATGGCACCTTTCTGGAGTCCATATGCACACGTAAAATAGATGGCAGCCATTTTGAATGTCAGCCATTTTGAATGTCAGAAGCTGTAACCCCAAGCTATGACGTCACTCAGGCACGCGAGTTGAGATGCGACGGCTGTTTTTTGTACAATTATTGATTCGCCCATACTGAATGGCTACGTGCTACCGGTATATTATACTATCGGTTGAGAGATTATGCGCGCGCATGCATGCACACCCCGCACGCAGCTGCGTAAGGCACACGCGTATCTTCACACGGGGAGTTCGTACTGAAAACGTTTTCAACGAAAGCATGGATCTGCGGTTGATTTTCGGTAAACACACTGCCCGCGGACATAAATACCATTTCGGAAAGATTCTCATATCTGGCCATCACTAATTTGTCCCTTCAGTAGTATCAGTCATCAGAAAGTGATAATATGTCCTAAAAAGTCAAATTTAGCAGGGAAAATTTCGAAGTATTATAATAATTTACTGAGGAAACACTTGGAAATTTTCAGACCAGTCTCATACATGTACGGCTTGTACACAGGGTGACAAGTGATGGCCAGTTATGGGAATCTTTCCACCATTTCATGTCATAGATAAAGGGAAGGGTTTTGAATTTTGAGGGAAATTTGGGGTTAAAATGACAATGACAACTACTAAATGCAACATGAAAATAAATATGGCGATCACCGTGCGATGTACCATGTGTACCGTGAGCACACAAGTCCCACTGCACGGCACCAACTGGCCCGTAAACCGCGTTGGAAAATCATAATTTCTACCCCTAGAAAGTGTTCAAAAATTACCAAAAAGGTGTCATTATCTTGATTCTACACGATCGCCCCATTTTGTGCATTGGTGATTGGTCACCGCTGTTCGCGAGCACGGTGCTGTATACGTGCGTTATAATACTAATAGACACACACAATGTGTACAGTGTAGGTACATGTATATCGTACATTGACTGAAGTGAAAACGACAGGAAAAACGTTGTACTCTGTCGCGTCCGATGTAAACAACCAGAGTTTTTTTGTCATTTTTCGGGAACGGTAAGACATTAGACTGGCTTCCTTTCAACTAGATGTTTGCAATAGGATAAGTAAACAATCCAAAACGTGAAATCTTTGGGGGTTTCAAGCCCTAGTGCCCCTTTAATGGGATGGGACTAAGTCTAAGCATAGGCTCACCTGCTTACAAAACACGATCAACATGATCAACCCACCTTGCAAGCAAAGTCGAAAAAATCACCGCCCAGCGACCCCGACCGGACCACTCCGTTGCTGTTGGCTGACATCTCCCAAGTCCTTGATTATCCAGCTATCCTATCATCTCCTGTAATAATCCCTCGCGTCCTGTTTCGGCGTGATTTTGGAGAAAATATGCATTGAAGATGATGACAACTGCACGTCCATCAGAAAAGCTGCAAATGGGTGACATATGAAGAGCGCCCTCTGTCGCTCATCATCACAATTTGGGGAAAAAGTTCGGGGAGGGGGCCGGGCGGCATGAGGCTGAGGAGGCGCCGCCGCGCTAGAGCCGGCTAGGCGCGTCCTTCCTTAAAGAGTGAGGAATGATGCTCTGTACAATTCTATCCTTTTGGCCAAATCACATTACCTAAACACTAAAAGGTTCCATATTATAATGTCGAATTTGTAGGGAAAAAAAGAAAAAAAAAGTGCAAACTGCAGCCAGCTCAATCCCCATGCATAGGAGTACGGTGCAACCCTGCATTAAAATTCCCATTAGTGCTAAATGCCCATACCTTAAAATTCTTTTTAAAAACATTCAGAACTCTGACAGGTATTTAAGCTGCACAGTAAAATGATGATCAACATGTCATCTTTTGATTTTCCCCTCACTTCCTGGTGGGTTGACCATTGACTTTTCGAGATATTCTCACCCAAAGAATTAAGACTAAAAAACTACCCCTAGCCCTCCACAACATGGCAAAATAGCGCCTTTTTCGACCCCAATTGCATCCAAAATGCTCAGAATTGGAAGCCCCAAGTGCCAGAGGTTCATTGCCATATCTCTTCAATTCCCAAATTTTATGGCTCTCAGAACTCTCTAATATAGTACAGAATATTTTGAGGGGTATAACTTCTCGTCAGCTCAGCGGATGGATTTAGGCATATTTACCGGTGCGCACCCACAGAGGGAAAGAATGTAGTTTCCAGACGCCACATCTTTGATTGCAAGCATTTTGAAAGTATTTTCTTACAAAATTAGAAATGTTTCTCAGTCCCACATTCACTGTCTTTTCAACATTTTTGCAATGACTGACCTTCATTGGGATGATATAAGATGAAAAAAGGGGGCATACTGAGGATGAAACATTCTTTCTAACCATAGATATAGTTTCATAATAGCATCTGAAGGAAGAAAATAGAAATGCGTTTTGAAAAGCATATAACATGCAAATTAACCCATTGTGTTTTGATGCTATGAAAAGAAATATTTCCTTATACCCTCAAACACTGCAAAAATAAAACTCACACAACAGACAGAACTTAAAAATCATGAAAACTATATTTCAATATTTTCATATTTGCAGCTACAAGTATTTACATTTCAATTTCTCAAGTTTTACTTTCAGTACGAACTGATATACAGATGAATGAATAAACCTGCACATTTTCCTAACTGATAAGGGAAAAACTATTTCATCCATAAAAATAAATATCTTTTTCTTTCAAAATTTATTAATTTTAAGCAATTTATACCAGCATTCTAATGTTAAAATTTTCTACATTTGCACTATTCAACTCAAAAGACGCCACCATGTATCTCATCTTTTATCTTTTATCTAAACTATTAAAGTTGCATTCCACGTGCTCTTCAACAAATTCAATTTTTTCTTCTTAATAACTTATGAACATGTAGGTTTTATTTGAATAAAAAAAAACCTCCCTCTCTTTTTTTTGTGCCAACGTTTTTGTTTTGGTGACAAACTGATCCGCTTTGCAAGCAGACTGGCTCCTGGTTCATGGTCAGGGTGACCGTAAGGTCAGAGCCAAATTCTGCTAAATGCACATCAAAAATCTGTCAGATTTATCAAAAATCTGTCAAATTCCCCAGAATTACACTATAAACACTTAAAATCACATGCAGATTGATAGTGTTGCCTTAATTAAGATTCAAATTACACAATAAACAATCTAGTCACATACAGATGTTGTGAAATTATTGGTAAATTTCGGGCAAAACGCGGATCCGGCCACGACGAAGTCCGTTTCCCAGTGAATCTCAGCACCTAGACCAGCCAACCTGTCCCATTATGTAAGGGTTTGTTTGAAAGGATTGAAGCTTTTTTAAACAAATGTACACTTTTTTGTTAAAATTTGCTGTTTTTCTGTCAAAAATTCTGCGAGAAATCTGCCAAAAAAAATCCATTCTAACAAATTTTCTGTCAAGCTCATTTTTTTAACAAAAATTCTGTCAAAGTTAGCCGAAAATCAGCCAAAACGGTCAGCCTGTTTATGGCCTGAACATTGTCGAGACTGATGGTGGGGTGGGAACCAGTCCACTCTGCGAGAAATGGTATTATTGTCTGGCAGCCAATAATTCAAAATTGTAACGTAATTTTATAATTCTATAAATAATCATGGGCCATGTTTTGGTCAATGTCTCAATCAAAAGTGAAGAACTTTTGTATTGCTAGAAAAATAGCCATTTAGAAAAGGAACATATTTTTTTGTGATAAAATTTGGAAAAAGTACGGGGAACGCAACTTTCAAACTAATATCAGGCAAGGCTACACATAGATCATTTCAAGCAGTGTCACTGTACACCCACAGAGGTAGCATTCAATAATGAAAGCATTCTGCCAGATACAGTTCAGTATAATGGGGCTGTGTTGTTCAGTAGCGGGCAAAATGTCTTTGCAATTGAATGGGGCCTTAGTGTATGTACATGTACAAGTGATAGCAAGAATGGTGTATATTGCATCAACTAACCTCTATTGCAAATTTCAGATTATTCTACAGGGTGAGTCAAAAAAGCGGAAACCAAACCCATAGAAATATATTTCATATGCAAAACAATACGTAGCACCAAAAACAATTATGACTGGTAAGCTAATTCAATAAACTATTTTTAGATGAAAAAATTACTTCAATTGCTCAATCTGTTCAAATTATATCACCATTTAAACAAAATGACCCTAAAATCGGTTTCGTCCAAAAAATGTGATTTCAAGAATTGTCGTTACAATTGCCTCCAAACATCACAAGCGATAAAAACTCAGTTTAAAGTTAACAATATTCAACAAAGTCCTTTTGAAGGCCCGTCTTTGAAAAAAAAGTGGAATTAATAAATCCTATTGTTAGCCAAAGCAGGGTTGTCAACAAAGATATTGTGTACGACAGTTGTACAAACAAGTATTCTGTGTAATTTTCTTTGTTGCTCTTAACAGTCAGAACCCACAATAAATTGCCTTTTTTTTTGGGCGAAACTAATTTTAGGGTCATCGTTTAAATGGTATTGTTGTAAAGGAACGCGTGCAGAACGGGAGTGCCGTTCACACGCGTTCGCACGCGTGTGAACGGGAGGTAGCTTAAACAAAAGAATGCTTTCCCTGCGTGGGCGCGCGTGCGAACGGTCAATGTATTTTTGGTGTCTCGCCTAATATAATTTGAACAGATTGAGCAATTGAAGTAATTGTTTCATCTAAAAGTAGTTCATTAAATTGGCTTACCAGTCATAAATATTTTTGGTGCTACATATTTTTTCAAAATATGAAATATATTTCTTTGGGTTTGGGTTCTGCTTTTTATTGACTCTGTAGATGCATTGATGGTGGCTTGTCTCCTCGCTAGCTACCCTCCATTTTTTCCTCACCCGAAAAAAATCACCGTCCTGTACTTTCTACAATGTAATTTTCCTCTGAGTATATTGTACATTTGTTACTGCTATCAATTCAACTTTATCACAGTGGGGGACGGGTTGAATAAGGGGGGGGGGGGGGTTATCTACTTTGGGCCAGACAGAAACACAGAGCCAATGTATTATTCTTATTAAAATTCTCGAAAAGTAGAAGAAAGGATCTCTATACAGGGTGAGTAAAAAAAAACGAAACCCAAATGTCGGGACCATTGTTTTAGTGAAGTTCTGCATGTAGCACTTTCAAAATCTAGGATATGAAAGCCCGATTCATAAGCTTTCTTTTAGTACAGGAATCATTCAAATCACTCATGTACTTTTCAAGTTACGCAATTTTAAACACAACCACCGTTTTAAGGTTCTGTCCACGGATCACACAAAAAAAAAGTTCAGTGTTCTTTCAGCAAAATGAAAACAGATCACATAGGGATGCATGTGAATTGTTTTCGTTTTGCTGAAAGAACGCACACCTTTTTTGGTGATCCGTGGACAGAACTTTAAAACATGCAGAACTACACTCAAACAATGGTCCCGACATTTGGGTTTCGTTTTTTTTTTACTCACCCTGTATTTTGTTTTTAAAAATTTGGTCACAAACCACATATATTATCTTTGCATTATCTAAAAGCACCTGGAATTTACATGTCTCTGAGAAGACGGGAAGGTACTCCTTAAGTGTGGCTTTACCACACCACTGGAGATTGGTACATTTCTTCTGGATGTAACAAAAAACAAGACTGGCAAGTTTGACCGGGCTTTGGTCTTTCTTGTAGCTCCAGGTTTCCTTGGATATGACTAGAGGCACTTTCACAGCAACCCTTCGTAGATTGGGGATTCTGATGAAGAGTAAAGAAACATTTTCATTGGAACATGAGTTGGTGTTTTATTAATGAAAAATTTGATTGATCTTAATACAATATGTGCCTGGATGTTTCCCAAGACCATTAGACTACTACTAGCACTTGCCGACAGGTAACAAAGGCTTCTGAAATTGTGTTGGTTGCCGAGGGTCTGTGAGATTTCTACTTTTTATATACTACTTTTTTAATTAAACCAGAGATTGAGTGAAGACGACTTTAAAAAACAAGAGAAATACTGTAATCTGCTTAGGCCAAAAAAAAAAGTCTCCGGTTTCTGGTATGGAGCTTGCACAAAAAGTGGTGCGGCGACGCGGCTTTTTTTTTTTACCTGGTTTTTTTTTGCTTCAAATGTCGGCGGATGATTGCAAAATGGTGCCCGACTAAACTTAGTACAAATATATGAGGGTCCAGAGAGGCCACATAAAGCTTATTCTCGATCATAACCCTATCTAAAAACACGTTAAAATTGTGCAGCAGCAGGATTCCAGTCAAACCAGTGAGTTTGGTGGTTTTGAGACATCATCTTTCATTGAAAAAAACCTTTTTCATTTTGCCGACGCGCATGGCTACGGCGACGCGCGCGCATACCAGAAACCGGAGACTTTTTTTTTTTTGGCCTTATCCACTTTCCAAGATTTTTCATGGAATGTTAAAGGGACACTAGGTCCTGGAACAGCCCAATTGGGCTACAAAACGCGCTTTGAACGAGATTATGTTAATCGGAAAGAACATTTAAAACTAGGATAGAAACATCCACACAACTATCCTTTAAAAACTGGGCGTTTTTGTGTTATTCCTGTATTATGCGTGCGAGAATGAATTTCGGGGTCCACTTTTGCGACCCCATAAATTCGAGCTGTTTGGGTGCTAGTTGTGATTTCATTCGTATGCGTAAAGTGTTCGCCTTTTGCGGATGTTGAAGAAACCAAATTTTTTTGCATTGGTGATTGGTCACCGCTGTTCCCAAGACACACAAAGTATATATCGTACACTGTATGAGAACGACACGAAAAACGTATTCGTAATCCGTCGTGTCCGATGTAAACAACCGGGGATTTTTCCTCTTTTCTCGGGAATGGTAAGACATTAGGTTGGTTTCCTTTCAACCACATGTTTGAAATAGGATAAGTAAACAATCCAAAACATGAAATTTTCGGGGATTTCAGGACCTAGTGCCCCTTTAATACAAACAGAGAAGCAAACAAGTCAGGTGTGTTTACAAACACAAATGCCCCGCAACCGTGACTGTTCCCATGACATAACACCACTCTTTTAACATCAACTTACATGTACCTTGGTCACATGGAACGTTCATTAATTGACAGCATTAGTGTCTTCTGTAGGTTTTATATGAATTAATCCCTAATCCCTATGATCTCAGAATAAATACAAGGTTTCGATTGTTTTAGCCACTGTGACCTTGACCCTTGACCTTTTGGCCCCAAATGCAAAAGGCTTCTTAGGATTACCAAGGACAATCCACAAACCAAATTTGAAGTTCATATGTAAAGTATTTCTCAAGTTATCGCGCTGACAAACTTTCTATTGTTTCAGCCACTGTGACCTTGACCCTTGACCTTTCGGCCCCAAATGCAATAGGCTTCTTAGGATTACCAAGAACAATACACAAACCAAATTTGAAATTCATATGTAAAGTATTTCTCAAGTTATCGCGCTGACAAAATTTCTTTTGTTTTAGCCACTGTGACCTTGACCCTTGACCTTTCGGCCCCAAATGCAAAAGGCTTCTCAGGATTGCCAAGGACAATCCAAAAACCAAATTTGAAGTTCATATGTAAAGTATTTCTTAAGTTATCGCGCTGACAAAATTTCTATTGTTTCAGCCACTGTGACCTTGACCCTTGACCTTTCGGCCCCAAATGCAATAGGCCTCTTAGGATTGCCAAGGACAATCCACAAACCAAATTTGAAGTTCATATGTAAAGTATATCTCAAGTTATCACGCTGACAAAATTTCTTTTGTTTTAGCCACTGTGACCTTGACCCTTGACCTTTCGGCCCCAAATGCAAAAGGCTTCTCAGGATTGCCAAGGACAATCCACAAACCAAATTTGAAGTTCATATGTAAAGTATTTCTCAAGTTATCGCGCTGACAAAATTTCTATTGTTTCAGCCACTGTGACCTTGACCCTTGACCTTTCGGCCCCAAATGCAATAGGCCTCTTAGGATTACCAAGAACAATACACAGACCAAATTTGAAGTTCGAATGTTAAGTATTTCTCAAGTTATCGTGCTGACAAGATTTGTCCGGACACACACACCCACACACCCATACTTGTTTCACATGACTAGTGTGGACTTTCCATTGCTTTCGTGTAGTTAAGAAAAACCAGTGAAAAAACTCATTTTTCTCAAACTGTGAAAACTCTTTCAACCCAATTTTTTTTCTATGATTCCCTTTAGTGTTTCTCTTCATTCTGCTACAGATAAACCTAACCCAAAAATGCCTCTAAACCTGTTTTCCAGAAATGGGGAAACACTGTGTGGACGTTGGGCAAGTCCACACAACGTCGGTGCTACCTACATTATGTGGACGTCTTTTGTTCGGAAGTCCACACTGCGTATGTAAGACAAACTCACCCACCCACCCACACACACACCCACACACCCACCCACCCACCCACCCACCCACCCACGGAAGGACAAGGCGGAAACAGTATGCCCCTTCGGCTTCGCCGCGGGGCATAAAAAGGACAATAGAGTGTTCCCAACTTCCAATGAGCCCTAGCATCCCACACCTTTTCAATTTGCTATGGTTGGTCAGCCCTTTCAAATTTTGGCGGCCAAAAGTTCTTTTCTAAATCCTGAGTTTGTATGTGAAATGCTGGGTCACTTGTGGGACTATTTCCAGACAAGATCAATCCTTCTATATTAGACATGAGCCTGGGAGGTGAGATTTGACTGACCTAAAATGGAGTTTCTGACGGCTAGTTTGTCATGTCTCGGCAACATCTGACAATTCTGCATCCAGCTTTCTGGTCTCCATTCTAGCCACTGCAATGAAATGAACATGACACTTATGACGTACCTTTGTCTGGTAGCCATAACAGCTCTCTAAACAAATGGCAATGGCATGTTGTAAATCCCCAGCATGCTGAAATAACACTTGACCTCGTGTACACATCTTAACCAGTTCACGCCGGTATTATTTTGACAAGAACGGAATGAGGCGCGGAATTAATTTCACTCGACCTGAAGCCAGGCGGGTTGAAGCCATGACCCTCGGGCAGCACACGCATATTTCCGGCCTCGCTCGCTGCAAGCGGGTCACTGATAGATATGTCAAGGTCTTGTCTGTCATCCGTTCCGAATACCGCAAAACTTTTGTGTGCACACACGGCCTCCGGCGCGAACTGGTTAAACACTCAATCACAATGCTTGCTGGGATAGGCTGGCTGACTCAAATTTGACATTGCAGCAAGTTCTGCCATCAATGACACTTTTGGAAAAACATCGGCAGTTTACATATCCCTTCCACCAATATTTAAATTTGGTAAAAACAACACTGAAATCAAAACATTCAGCCACTAAAATACGAAACTTTTAAGTTATTTTAACAAGTACATCATGCATTTCCAAACATATTTGCAGAACCTATTATGAATATCTCAATATAAGTTCATCCTACCTTTGTATTCTTTGAAGGTAGAACATGAGTGACTGGTACTGTGACAATAAGATCAGTGGCTCTGGGCACAGACACATGAACCTGCATGCAGTAGGCAATCTATTAACAGAGAAGAAAATTACAAGAACTGATTAAAACATTGAAGAGTTTGTAAAAGTGAAATGCGCAGAACTTGTCAAGTATGCCACAATTGTGAATTCAAGACATTGTCAATACGTTTGGGTATCAATTTATTTACAAAGGCGTTTTGTTGTTACAGTTTCAGATCTGCATGACGTAAATAAGACTTTAAATTTTTTTTTTGAGGATGAAAAGCAAACTTGAGATTTTGATCATGCATCTCTAAGACTGCAGTTGGATTCTGTTTCCCCTAATAATACACTTGGTAAATAGGGCCGAATTTGCCTATGCCGGCCAAATCATTATTTGCATGCTATTAGAGCATTTTGAGGGCCATGAACTTGAGGGTTTGTAAAAAAGAAGGATGGAAGCCATCGCAGAGGACTGCGAGCTTGCATTTCTGTGAAATTAGGATGGCATTGGGCCCTTATTGCTCTATTTTGCAATGGAGCGTTGGCGTTCCTTTTAAAAATGGCGACGAGCTTCAGGATTACTTTTAGGTGTGATCATCTTTGGATGGAATTTGGCCCAAAAGTCATTAGTTAACCCATCAATCAGTGTTTTGCACATGGGCATAATTATCAATGGAGTCTATGGCAGTTTATTTACAGGTCCCAACCTGCTGTACAAGTTGGTCTAGCGCCCTCTATTGACCTGTCTTGAAACAAAAAATTGCTTGATGGCCGCTATCAAAATGCCTCAGATCAACGTTGCCATAGAACAACCATCCTGACTCAAGTATCATCCTTGAATGTTCTACTGGCATTTACACCTGCAATTGCCAATTTTAAAAATGCAGTAATGCCACCAGAGCGTTATTGAGGGTATTTTGAAAAAAACATCAACCAAATGCAGTTGCGGAAACTTTGGCACCAGGACCCATGACATCTTGAGCACATCTCACACACAGTTTAAGCTTGAATATAGCACAAGTGAGGCATGCTCAGGATTTCTGGAGTCCCAGAATGAGTTCCCAACACTGAGTTTCATTCATCTGGTTGATGGCACCTCTACCGCCATGGTCAAGGACACTTGCCAAGGACGAGGGAACAAAAAACAAATACACTCTTGGACCTAGACTAGGTTTGTTGCAATGTCTTTTTACTTTTCTTAAAGACTTTCTTCAATGACTGCTCAATCATGAATGGAGAGAACAAAAAACATGCACATCAATGAAATATCCCAGAGAGGTCCATCCTACACTAAATGATAGATGTCTTCTTCATTGATGAAGTTGACCCTGATAATAACTTTTGCCCCCGAAGACTAATTCTAGCAGGTCACCAGTTGAAACACTACTTTTAAGCTGGTGATGATAATTACAAGACCTTAATTCTTTCGCTACGGCGAGCCGCTGACAGCGGCACATACAAATTGTACAGGTCGTACGGAGAGCCGCTGGCAGCGGCTCGGTTGCGTCGCTATGAATAAACAGGGTATCCCCATGACGTAGGCCATATCTACATAATTTATATCGTATAACCTCTGACCCTAGTTTGAGCCGCTGCCAGCGGCTCTCCGTCTGGCTGGGGTGCGCTTTTTGTTATTGTGAGCAGTTTGTTTACGGAGATACATTCAAAGATGGCGGCGCCCACATCGACGCTTGGCGGAATTTTCAGCTTTTAATTACGTCCAGTTGGGACGAAAAAGGTAAATTTAATTCCCCGTAGCGAAAGAGTTAAAAACATTTCATATTCATGCAGGGGCGTAGCCAGATCTATTTGAAAGGGGGGGGGGGGGCAACAAATTTGCCGACAGACCCTCTGTGCTTGAAGGTAACCAGGATTTTTTCCTTCCAGCTGGCTGTGGCAACATTAAAGGTGAGGGGGGGGGGGGCTGGATACCATGCATCTGACTATTTGAGATTTGGAGGCACTGTTCAAAGCAGAGGATCTTGGACATTATTGGGCTATTCTGCCAAGCCCATTATTTGTATTTTCATTGGGTGGTCAATTTGCTGACTGAGGCTCTAAATCCCCCTTCTCGACCCAATTCGCTATGCCACTGTACAGCGTGAGTAAAAAAAAAAAAAAAAACCCAAATGTCGGGCCCATTGTTTTAGTGAAGTTCGGTATGTAGCACTTTCCAAATCTAGGGTATGAAAGCCCAATTCATAAGCTTTCTTTTAGTACAAGAACTATTCAAATCACTAATGTACTTTTCAAGTCACTGATTTTTAAACACAACCACCGTTTTAAGGTTCCATCCACAGATCACAAAAAAGTTCAGTGTTCTTTCAGCAAAACGAAAACAAATCACATAAGGATGTGTGTGAATTGTTTTCATTTTGCTGAAAGAACACACACCTTTTTTGTGATCTGTGGACGGAACTTTAAAACGGTGGTGGTGTTTAAAACTCCGTAACTTGAAAAGTGCATGAGTGATTTGAATGATTCTTATACTAAAAGAAAGCTTATGAATAGCGCTTTCGTATCCTAGATTTTGCTACATGCAGAACTTCAATAAAACAATGTTCCTGACATTTGGGTTTCATTTTTTTTTTTACTCACCCTGTATTCATGCTAAGGTCAGCAACTTCACTGATACAGAGACATGCGAAGATAGGCACAGACAAACAAAACTGCACTCAAACGTAGAAGATGAACATAAGATAACAAGACTTACTCTTAAATAGCTTCCTATGGTGGAGGGAGGCAAGAGGGAACCGTCAGGATTGGAAAGGTGGATATCATACGTCCTGCAAAAAGACAAATCATAAAAAAAATATTGGCAATCTTCAAAATCTGTCTTATCTTAAATCACTGGTGCTTTCTGTGACTTTTCTCTGTACCAATTGTCAAAGCAGATAAACAATTGTTCCCTGTCGATATCACTATGCACTGGCACATCCATTACATTTTGAATATTTCAACAATTCTTGATTGGCCATATCCAAGGTGGTGCTATAACGTCAGTCTCGGTCATGAGATGTACAATTACAGCAAAGAGCACGAGTTCAACATGGAAAGCAGCACCCCCGGCTTACAAAGTGTGTCAGCTCTACTTTCATGCCCCTACTCTACAAGATTGTTTGATGGTTATTGGTTTTCTTTTTTGTGGTGGTGGGGTGGTGGTGGGGGGGGGGGATGAGTAATCACCCCCCCCCCCCCTCTTTCTAACCATAAGAACTTGTATGCATGTTACTAGAAAAATTCTCAAATTTCCATTCCTGAAATAAAGTCATATCTTATTGCAAATTTTGGTTCATTACTTAAAGCAATGAACTACTCAGCCATCCTAATTGAAAAATCCTGGTCACAAATGGTGACAGAAGGATGAACAAATGTCTTACTCACCAGTCACGGTTTTCCTTCGGTGTGACCGAGCCCAGATTCTTGTAGCAGATTTCTTCAGCATCTATGGAGACCTCGTCTTGAAGTCGGACCCTTGCGTCTCCACGGTGAGTGGCGTAAATCAAAGAAGATTTGGGATCTTCCTTGAATTGTTCTTGATCAACCCAACAGCCGTACATCCAGACCGTTCTCTTGAGCTAGGAAATACAAACAAACAAACCATGTTTCTCAGTTTTGTAAGTTTACACAAGTTGTACCAGTGAATGGTAGAAATGCAGTACATCTGCATCTGTATGCTTCTGTACAAACACTAGTCTAGGGGCTAGACATTGTTATGGTTTGATACGAGATAACCTGTGGCAGTGAGCCACGGACTTGTCAGGAACAACGTCTACGGAATCTCCTGGAATCTCCCCCCGTTAAATTGTTGAACAAAATGGTTGGCAATGTCTAGTGTTTGACTTGTTTTGATTTTTGGACCGAAAATATTTATATTTTTTGACCGAAAAGGTATTTATGAATGGGAATAAATATGTGCTTGGTCGGTATAGACCGCTTGCAGACGCGTTCGAAAATTGACGCGCTAAGGTGAGCGACGCCATGTTATGGGACAAAATGAGCGTGGATAGATATACGCCTGTCCCACAACATGGCGTCGCGCGCCTTCGCGCGTCGCTTATCAAACGCGTCTGCAAGCGGTCTATTAAACACTCTGTTTAAGACCGGTTGGAGTCTGGAGTGCTGATAGTTACCTGAGGCGAAGCCGAGGGTAATTATCAACCATCCAGACTCCCACCGGTCTTAAACAGAGTTTTTAATACCTCCCAAACACACATTTATGCCCTTAATAAAAAACGTTTTGTCATTATTCTACAAACAGTGCATTCCTAGAACTTGTCAAAAGTACATCTAAACAGAAAGATTGGGTGGGGCTCCAAACCACAACTTCCAAGTGTAATTACAGACAAGCTTTTCAGTTTTGTTCATTTGTTAAAGGTAGAGTACATCATTTGCAGCAATCCAAAAAGTAACTGACAAAAGTATTGTTGAAAAGCTTACTTGGTTTAAAGATAGTAATGGCACTAAACTCCCTGTGAGATTATTCTTTCCGGCATGCTGCCATTATGAAGAAAAACAATCAAAGAAGGTAATTTCAAACGATGCGTCTAAAGACGCCTTTTTGGAAATTTCCCTCAGTAATTCGTTTTTAATTCAGCGACTGGTGCGCGCAAGCGTTGACACGACGCACACGCACGCGGTTGCTACAATTGGTCGGTTCAGTGCGTGACATCGTGTAACTGCAATAGGCTGAATGAGAACGTGTCCCAGACGCTAATTTCAGGCGTAATTCAAAACATGACTCGGCAACTTTTGAATTGAAATCAAGATCCAAGAATATTGTTTTCTTGGAATATACAGCATTCACTGAACTAAAACTTCATCAGCTTAGTTGTAAAAGCACCCTTCTTTTGATTTTGAGCACATTAGTTGCTTCAAATGAAAAAAATGCACAAAAGACAAATGATGTACTCTTCCTTTAAAAAAAACCACACCAAATAGCACTGATGGGCGCAAGACTAGGCCTGGGCCAATTACGCACAATGAACCATTTGCGGTATGGTCATATTCGGAAATTGAAGTACTCGGAATACAAGTACTTGGACTCGTACTCGTACTTGTACTCGAAAGTACTCGTACTCGGAGACCTGAACTTGTAATCGGAAGTACTCGTACTCGTACTCGGTAACCTAAGTACTTGGCAGTACTCTGTACTCGGAAAAAAGTACTCGACTACAACACTGATGGGCGGCCTTGCATGACAAATAAACACAAAAACTTGCATTTATGCTTTATTGGTAACAATTACTTCATCAGATGCAAATTTGTTGATGACACAAACCGTATTGGGCGTTTTGTTATGCCTTGGGCCAGTCATTACAATGCTGTACTCACCCAGCATTTGACCGACTTGGCAAGCTCTGATGACTTGTTGTTCACATTAACACTCAGCTGCATTGTTTCTCCCGTTGTGTAGACTGATTTATCCAACCTGCAGATCAACATGAAATGAGCTTGTCAACCTTGATAGTCCCAGAGGGCCAGGCAAGCGTCCTCTTTGTAAGAATCTCACTGATTGACTGACTGCCTATCACTTGTGATTTAGATTTGATACTTACATTTAAACCATTGCTATGACGTCACACTATTGTTAAAAGTGTGGATTCGGAACTACGAATATGTTACACTGGTCACAAAGTGTGGATTCGGAAGTACAAATCTTTAGTAAAGTGTGGATTCGAAATTACGAAATGTTGGACAATATGTTCTCCATAATGAGCAATAATAGGACCGTCTGCATGAAAACTTTACTTCCAAAATTACCAATGTATTTTCACTGTCAGATTCTCTGCCGTCACTGCAAAAAAACACTTTTAGTCAGAAAGAAATGGTCGTCTGAACTATCCATGTTGATGTAAGGTGCCTACACACAAAATGACTTGGTTGTATGGGTGTGGCGATACACATGCTAAACACGCCACAATGCTTGATTACGTATAAGAGCCCCGAAGAACTCCCTTGTAAATTACCCTATTAAATGGCCACGACTCGACACAAGATATGCAAGTTTTTCATCTCCACTAACTGGACCGTTAATGACAATACTTCTTTTGATGCAATGATTTAAGTCGAAAAATACACTCACAAGTGTCGATTCTTAATTTACGATTTCACTCAGCGCATCGCGTCTCGTGAATTCTTAAATTACGAATCCACACTTTCTCGTGTGTTCTCCTTAACATATATCACACATTGGACCAAACGTATCACATACATGATCTGTTTCTTAAAATGTCAAGTTGTAAGTACTGAATGCAATGGGGTGGACCACGGATATGACAGATTTTTGAATGTTCCAATCATATACACTTCCAATCATGTGCAATTTTTGATGACAGTTTTTGCTGCGTGTCCTAGATAGATAGCCTAGCGACTATTTTTAGCCTATCTGACTGACTAAATGTCCAATCTGACTGACTAAATGACTGACTTGTAACTTAGAATGTGGTGAAGAGATCCGGGCAGTGCTGTCATATAGGATCACCCCCATAACGCCAATGAATGGGCTCAATTCTTCCCATTGCGTAGACCAGATGCATGAACAGACTTCCAGTGAATAGCCATTCAGAATCATCTGAGTAGCCTTTTGTGCACTCTGGGTCCATCTTTACTAGGTTGACCTTGTTTTGTTGTTCTATTGATTGTTACAGGTTTCAGCTGTGTCCTGCTTCAACATTCCCCCATTGTTTCAGCTGGTTAACAATGATAGAACTTTGCTTAATTTGACATTTCATTTGGTCGCCTACAGTGCTTTGGCTGGGTAAAAAATGTTACCAAGTCCAGCAAATGCAGCCACCTCTTCCACTTACTCAGCCATGAGGGATAACCCCCCTCGGTCGTAGCAAAAACAGGTCTTGATCATCTTTTCATCCATGTAGGCAACTTTGAGGACGTCATCTGTCCTCTTGCCCAGACAGACGAAGGTCTGGGTGTCACTGAGTTTGTCCCCGGCAGTGGCTGTGACTCTGTAGGTGACACTGCCATGCCAGCTGTCCTTTGGGCAGGAAATGGAGGTCGTGCCTGAATGTTACAGGAAGGAAGACAAGGCTATACATGTATCTGTGTCTTCAGTCAAGGTTAAGCTACGGATGAATATGGGCATTTGATCATTGTACACACGAGGCCCCCTTCAATGGAGAAACCATTGTGCCAGGCCTGTATTATCCAATAGGCACAGTGGGCACTGTGCCTAGGGCCTACGAAACATATGGGGGCCTACGAAAAAATGGAGGTCCTATGAAACACGTACAGTGCCAACAGGCTTTTTGAGCTACCAGTTTGGACTGGCTTGCTCAGTACAACTTAAAACATGAAATGTGTGCTGGTGTTTAGCATAGAGCAAAATATGACCTACAGAAAACTGGTGTCTAGGGCCTACAGAACACTGGTGCCTAGGGCCTATGGAATAGTTAATCCAGCCCTGCATTGTGCACACTATTGTACAAAGCAATTCCCCTGTGACGAATTGTAAGAACAATAGCTAGCACAATGCTTTCGCCACTGAAGGGAGCCTTTGTGAAGAATTGGTAGTGTGCTTGGGTTGTCTACATTTGTACTCAAAGCAGAACCCCCCCCAAAAAAAAAAGGAAAAAAAAAAGGTTTTTAACATTAAAACATGTTTTAAGTTTTATGCAAATTTTATAATCAATTTGGGTCCATATCAGTAAGTAACATTTATCAAAATGAAAAGCTGATTGTTTTTTTTTTCACACAATATTTGATTTGAAGGTTTACACAGTGAAGTCAGCAGTAAAAGTGAGTTTGCGGTTGTACCATGTGACAAGAAATGTGTGACTTTGAGTGGTTCTGAAAAGAACCGGGGAACTCAACGTTTCATTTGTCTCTGTGCCCATGGGTCACAGAGACAAATGCATCAATGTACAATGTATGCTGTATACCAGGAACTTTCCATCATCTTTTCGTTTTGCTGTAACTTTACTACAACTCTCCTTGTTTGATAATACACAGTTTTCAACTGATGAAATGATGTAAACTACTCTATTGTCTTTTCTCCTGACACCTAGGACTCTGTTAGGGGCGGCGAAATGTTTTTCAAACTGATGGCTAACACCAAAAAGGGGCACTTGCTCAAAAAAGGGGCACCTTCCGTCGGTGTGAAAGTAGAGGAAAAGAATATGGTTCTGTTCCCTACTTATGTAGAGAGACCTTTTTTGCTATCTCGAGAGGGGCAATGTTGCTTATGATGGTCAGTGCAGTGACAATTTTATTTGCGTGAAGAACACTATTATTTTTTTAGGGGCCAGTTTTCCCCATCTTGAGAGGGGGAACACGTTGCGAGGGGGAACTAATTGTGCTTTCGAGGGGCAGTTTCCCATCTCGAGAAGTCCCCCCCCCACAGTTCCGCCGCCCCTGTCTACTGTTCTTTTATTATTCCATTGTTAACAGGTTTGCTTATGGTGCACGCCCAGGACTTTATATTGTATTTCTTACAGTTTCTATTGTTATACATGTACATGTAGTTCTATTTTTTTTTTTGCAACCCCTCTCAATTGGTTTTTACACAATTTACAACTAAGGTCAGCTTTCTTTTAACCGAGGACGTAATAACTTTCATTAACATTGTTTTGTTTGTTTTTTACATTGTTTTGTTTGTTTGGTCTTTGATATCCACCATGAACATGGTTGACTCGGAAAGGATGTAAGTCTGTCAGATTGCATCGTGGTACTTTCCGTGCCATCCACTCATGGGCATCAAAAGAGGGGGTGTGACCCCCCCCCCCACACACACACCATTATCTTTTTCTTTTGGCTGGCAAAAAAATGTCATTCTGTAAGAAATACCGTGTGTCTATCGACAAATATGCTGCAACAAAGAGTGCCACCTGCTATCTGATGGTGTCCAATATTTTCTGCACTGAAAAATGTTTCTAATAGTCAGATGGGCCTTCCCCCCCCCCATCACATCCCCACTTTCCAGGCTACCTTCTAGCACAGAGGCTCTGTCAGTAAATTGGTTGTCACAACATGGAAATTAAGCTCCCATGACTTTTAGTACAAACTGACATTATTTTTATTTCATTTATTAATTTCCTATTTCCTCTTCATAAAAAAATATACTAGCACAAGAGATTGCCTACAAAGCAGTAATTTTGGCAAAAAAAACCTTAAACGATAGTTTGTGCATGTAGGACACATGCCAGTACAAAATATTCACTATGAAACTGTGAGTCTTTACTTATATGTTTGATTATTGAACTATGTACTAGTATTTCATGACAGACCCGTCATACAAACTCTTGGACAAGGTCAAGAGAGGGCAGTTCATGGAAATACTGGCCAGAAACAAAACCGTACTTACTGGGGAGTTTCGGTTTCAGTTTGTAGTGGAAGGGAAACTTGTAGTAGCCAACAGGAAGCGGTTCTGAAACAAAGAAGGAAATAAACAACATTGTAGGTAGGGTAATTGGCCATTGTTATCAGGTGTTTGGGGATATTTCCTTGCTAGATGGTTTGTCATATATCCTGGATTGTCATTATTATTGAATGATTTTTTTTAAATTAATTTGTTCCTATTTCATTTTTCATTTTTTTTAAACAAAATTTCTGTTCAACCAGTAACATGAGTAAGACTCAACTACATGCCTTAAAATTGAAAAGGGGCTGTGTAGAAAACCAAATATCCAAATATTTGATCATCCGTCAAATATCTAAATAGCAATTTTCTAATTGAAATATTCCCCCAAAAATGTGAGAAGTCTTGAGAAGATGAAGAAAATGTCTATGTTGTTATTTCAATCATATATATATTGTGTGGTTTTATTGTTTGTCAAATGTGTCATTTTTGGTTGAGTCACTTGAAGGGACACTACGTCCTGCAATACGCAAAATCGTCTTTTCTCGGGAACGGTAAGACATAAGGTTGGTTTCCTTTCAACCAGATGTTTGAAATAGGATAAGTAAACATCTAAATCATGACATTTTCGGGGATTTCAGGACGCAGTGCCCCTTTAATTACATGCATGACTTGAGAGCTTAATTCTGTGAGGAATACTACCTTGAATTACATCTTTAAAATCTTTCAAATATCAGCTAGTCGTCAGCTCCCTTGATAAATATATATTGATGCATACAAGATGTTCCAAATATTTCAATAAGCTCATTGTCAATTTTCCACAGGAACCCCCAACCCTGATTGGCAGCCAATTAATTTCCTATCAGCACAATTAATTGAGGCTGTAAAACTTGATTAGTGCGGTGCAAATATTCACATTTTTTTTATCAAATCCAACCCAAATTTGAATAATCCAATACTAAATTATTTGAGAAATGCAAATCACTCAACTTAGTTGGTAGAGGTTGCATAAATTAGCGTGGTGTCAGGGTGGAGTTTGCCTTGGTCAAGGCGTTCGTCATTATTCGTCCATACGCGGTAAACGATCGGCGGCATATCCTCGTTATACGTTATGCAGTGCATTCATCAATCAATCAATACTTTATTTCCACTCAATCAAATAACAATACATGGAAAATGGGTATAATTAGAGTGAAGGGCGATTAAGTGGTGGGGGCCTCCAAAAAGCAGGGCTTGTCGAGTAGAGACCCCCATAATGTGCATAGCTTAAAGGATTAGATTAAACAGACATAGTTAAATTGAATGCTATACACTAAGTAATAATGACTAAGTTACACAAGCAACAAGGACTAGGACAAAGACGAGGACGTACTGCACAGCAGTATAGGGTATTGTTCACGAAGATCAACCAACATGAGGGGTTATGATAATAAGGTAAATAATATAAATGGACTGTATTCAATCAAGTCAAATCAACCGTTTTGATATTTTAAAAATACAGCACAAACAGCGACCTCATGCGGCCACACGTTGTGTGTCGTTGTATCACATTATATTACACACTACGCTTATCTGTATTCGCATATGAGGTCGTGCGCTGGAAATCTAGCGCAAAATAAAGAAAAACATAAGCTTTCTTGCACGATTGGTCCAAGGCGTTCGATTGAATCCAAATGACTTGCATAAAATAGTGGCCGCATGAGGTCGCTGTTACATGCTGTATTTTTAATGCACTACATAGCGAGGATATGATGAGGATCGTTTACCGTGTAAGGACGAATAATGACGAGTCCCTTGACCAAGGCTAGGGTGGAGTTAAAATGGGGTCTAGGGATTGGAGTTCATCAATGAATATCAGAAATGACACTGTAAAACTTTTCAGGATATTTCCAATATTTAGTTATACACAATATTATTACAGATGTTTCATATGAAACCAAAAAAAAACCACACACACGAAACACTTAAGTCTACCGAATATGCATTACACAGCATGACAAAACATATTCCATTTAATCCTGATTTGTTTGTTTTTTCATGCAAACCACAGGTGTTTTTAAATCAAAAAGGAAATAACACTACACTACTTTACCCCCAAATGAGTCACATTTCAACCAGTCCAGCGAAATTGCTAATCATATCCTGTATAGAGCATTCTATGAAAACATCTTGTTCATGCAAGAGGGATTTTTTTGTGACTCACATCTGAAAAACCCACAATCATTTTTTGTTCCTTGGCACTGCCTAACCCCAGTGTGGTGTGAAAGTCCGACTCTATGAAATACAGACTTATTGTATACAGTGGAACGCCGCTATAACGAACATCGCGAGATCCACAGAAATTGTTCGTAATAGCGATCGTTCGTTATAGCTATTTTAAGCTTCCGGTGCTCTGGTACTCACTTTTCAATAAATGGCGCCCTTCATAATTTCACCCTGCACGCCCTGGTACAAGTGGTAGTTACTGAAAGACAACTTCGAACACGTGCCGGCCATTGAATTATGTAATTACACATTTTTGAGCTTACTACCTACATCGATGTGGTGGCTTTCCCCTTCTATGCCTTGGGGAAATAATAGCCACTTGCCGTTCTTCTGTTGACGGTTTTCAACAATATTTGGTTGGTTTTTTACACAAAAATCGGGAGCCCAGGATGATGTTAGGTAGGCCTATAGCCGAATGTTCGGTATGGCGGTGTTCGGTATATAGCGACATTCCACTGAAGTGCGCATGCCTTAGTGCACATAATTAGGAACGTGACAGGTCACATGGGTTAGACCGGATTTCATAGCATTCTAAATTTCATATGACACCGGACCTCTATGCATCGTTCATTCTTCCTGAATCCCTAATGCGCAGGTAGACTAATGACATATTCTCTGTGCTCTGAATATATTTGAGACACATCAAGCCCAACGTAATATACTTGTGTTTGAAACCTCAAGTACTAAATCAAGCAAAGCCAGTTATTTGATTGCATAAATGGAGTCATGGAATCCTGTTTCTGAGAAGTTACGACGGGGAAAAAAACATGACATAACTTGAACCCACCACTTGGTCATTAGTGGAAATGTTAATTTTTTTATTTTATTTTATTTCTTTCTGGTAATGAAACCAAGGATTCCTCAAAAGTACCATAAGCACTGTAGCTCGAAAGCCTGAAGAAACCTGTAGAGAGAAGACAATGAGAAGAAGTTACAGTTTTAGAGGTGGGAGGAAAAGCCCAGAAGAGTATTCTGAAGAAAACCCACGGAATCAGGTAGGGACTGAAAACCCAATCCACATATTGTCCCGGCTGGCATTCGAACCCGGGTCACAGCGGTGGAAGGCGAGGAAAGTACCGCTACGCCAACCTGACTCCCCTTTTAGCCATGCGACCAAGCTTGCCATGGTTCAACTGGCTGATTTGAAAACAGAAAAACAAAAAAAACTTTGCAAACCTTTTGGGGCCAAGATCTCCACAGGATTGGCCATGACCTTGTCTGTGTATGGGTTTCGTAAGCAGTCATTAGAGTGGTTGATTGACCAATCATCGCCATCAACAGGTACATAGTCACCTGAAATCAACAACAAACAACAACAACAACAACAACATAAATCCTTAAAATGACAATTGCAAACATCATAAGCTGATATGACTTGCAGAACTGAATCTTATCCTTTGATTTTGTGCCATAAAACAACCAAGTAATAGTCTCTTTAAGCCTTGGTTACCGTAACTTACGGTAACCAAGGCTTAAAGAGATAATTTTGGTTTTGCTGAAATAAATATTACACCTTTTTAAAATTAAATCTCCAACACCATTTCTTAAATTTTTCCTCCAAAAATGGGTTACAAAAGCTTAAACTGTAGTTAAGGGTTCGACCTCCAAACATTTTGAAGAACCTCTTGGTACAATTTCTTTTTGTAAATACATTTTGTCTAGAAAAACAATGCCAGAAGATGACAAGCAATTAAAATAAAATAGGGTGGGGGGGGGAGGGAGAAAGTTGCTAACCACTTGTGTACAAAGATTAACTGTGATGGATAATTTTCGGGAAAAGTATTGAAAGTCGTAAACTTACACTGTTCAATGCCAGATATCTGCAGCTGTATTTTCTCAGTAAAGTCAGCAGTGGCAACTTTGAGATAAATCATTCTGAAACAAGTAAAAAACAAACTGGATTAATTACAAAACCTCTAAAAGATGAAGTTTAAACCTAGCAGCGGTCACATATTGTGACAATTATCTTAATTTGAAATGTCTTCAACATAGTGATGAATATCCATCCACGTGAATATACACGTACGCCCCATCCATGTATTGCTCATATAATGAAAATCCACTTTAATCACTTCCTTTCAATAACGATATTTCAAAACTGTTCCTGAAACAAAGTTTATTTAGAAACAACAATTCTAGAGCACTTACACACATATATGGGACTACCGCCCATAAACCATACAGAACAATTTAAGGAACTTTCAGTTTACAAAAACCCTTGACTATTTTTTCATAAGCATTAAAGTGAAACCAGAGCTACATGTATCTATTCGATGAACAGAACATAGGGCTTTTCAGCATTTCACATTTTGGAAAATTGTTAAGCTATTTATCCATTGCAGTCCTGTAACTGTTCAATTTAACGGACAAGCAAAGTTGTTATGACCATAGTTGTGATGACAAGTCTTGTTGTACACGGTATAAGATATCACCTTTAATATTGAAACTTTAAAAATTTGAGGAAAAAAACCTAGATATTGGACTTTAAATTATGCAACTTTAAGATGACATCACATGACTCATGACATCGTCATCCTAATGTCACTTACTTAGGACCAACTTAAGCTTAGGATCTTTGTCTTTGCCTTGTTTAAAGCCAATCAGATTGCATTTTATGTCAAGTAGTGCTAGTAAAAAATATGTAAAAAGTGTGAAAATTAATAAAAATTCAGTTGATGACGTCATCACGATGTCACTTTGGATTTTGCATACTCGTAATACTATTTACCTACCCACAAAGTGTCATGCCTTCCCTTATATGTGTTATAAAAAGAAAATCACGTTTTTGATGATGTCACGATGACGTCACAAATTTTTGGAAATTTTGTACATTTATCTATGACCTAACAAGCCCATTTCCAAAAGTATTTTAAATTAGGCGTGTTCTGTTCTCGAGATATACATTTGTAGCCTATGCAGATCAGATGAAAAAAATGGAAAATCAATTTCAAAAAATCACACGTTGAAGTCATCATGACGTCACTTCATTTTTCATAACACACACCTAACAATGTATTTACAAGGTTTCAACCCAATTGGCCTTCATAGAACTTGAAATTATGTACCCTTAAAATGATGTCATATGATCTTTGATGACATCATCATGATGTCACTTGTCCAGGATCAACTTTAACTTAGGGTCTTAGTCTGTGCCTAGTTTGAAGTCAATCTGATTACATTCCATGTCAAATTTTGTAATTAGAAAAATAACAAAAAAATAATAATAAAAATCAGTTGATGACATCATCATTACGCCACTTCAGAGTTTGAATACAATTATCAATATCTACCTACCTAAGTTTCATAACGATTGGACATTCTGTTATAGGCTTATGTGTTTTAAACAATCACATCTTTTATGACGTCATGATGACGTCACATATTTTTCGAAATTTTGTGCATTTATCTATGACCTACCAAACCTATTACACAAAGAATTTGACTATAGCAATTGATGTTCTTGAGATATATGCAGATGAGATGAAAAAATTGTAAAAATCAATAAAAACTCACATGATGACGTCATCATGATGTCATCTCAACTTTCATCTATAACACGTCCCTGATTACAAAGTTTCAACCTAATGGGACTAGTAGTTCTAAAGATATAGGACTTTGAAAATTGCACCTTTAAGATGGTGTCACATGACACGTGATGACCGTCATCATGACGTCCATTTTCACGGACACTCTTGGACACTCTTTGCTATTGTTATGGTCTTTGATTGTGTAAAATTGATCAAGATCTGAAGATGCAAAATGTCCAAAGTGCCACCTAGAAAATTTGAGTACTAATCTAGGGGATTTGGGATAGAACAGAAGAAAAAATAAGGATTTTCCACAAATTGCAGAAAAGCCAATTATTCATGAAAGTGGACAACATTTGCAAAAATGGAAAAGCAAAATTACCAAATTATTATAAAATCAGCAGACGTAAAAATGCATATCCATAAGCCTAGCCGGTTTAATCCAGCCATGTGCCCTGACTTCTCGCGATCAGGAATTTTTACCGTCAAACCAAGATAGAGGCGTATGTATTTGAAGTTTTCCCCAAATTTAGGATTGTGGTATTAAGCTGTTTGTATGTTGAATGAATCGTGAAGCTCTAAGGAATATGATGGTGTGTATAACGTTGTCCGGCAATATATGCATTTCGAGGGATATTTGGAATGAAATCATTCAGGCATGACTCATGAAGCGACAACAGTCCTCATGAAGATAAGACAAAAGACAGCCAATTACAACCCTGATTGTAGGGTTATTTTCTTGTGTGTACATGCTGTGGTACTTCTACAGCTTCTTTTTGTCTCAACTTTCATTTCCGAAGCCAAATTTTAAATCTTTAAAACATTTTGTCCACAATCACCATGCGTGTTGTCCACAAATTCTTACTTCAGATGTCTGAAATAGTCTGTTTGCTGAAGTCTGTTCATGGCCAAGTACCTTTTAATGCGGTACCGGTATCACTCAGACCATTTTGGTACGGCGATTATTATCATGCATGGCTAGTAATTATCTTTACAGCCCTATCATCATGACTACAAGTGCATTACACTGACTTACCCATAGACTATTTCTCCTGCATAGTATTCTCCTTGATGGGTCCGAACAGCAATTTCATTCATTCTGACTTTTCGGAGATTGTGTCTGAAGTGAGACGTCAAAGACTAGCACTGGAGCTGAAATGAAAGGCCAGACCTACCTAAAATAGAAGAATTGATCAATTAAAACTTAAAAGTTATACATTCCCTAGCCCCACGTGTGTGGCCTCTATTTTGCTGCGCTGAACGTTAGGCCACACACACAAGTCTGGTTTTCCAAATTTTCCAACAGTACTGAGGAGTCCAAACACTTGCGCACCCTTTTTTGGATTTTTTTTCATACCACTGTATATGGTTGTATTCTTTGATTTCTCATCTTTTGCCCTCCAGGTAGATAAGGTAATCTTTCTTCAATTTTTTTGAGAAATTTAGACATCTTTCTGGAGTCCATATGCGCCAGTTTCAGACTAAACTCCTCAGTAGGTTGGGAAACCAGACGTGTGGCCTAACGTACAGCGCAGCAATATGGAGGCCACACAAGTGGGGCTATACATTCCCCAGGGGAAAATATACTTGTCAGGCCTCCATAATCAATCACCAGTTTTAGATATGCTTCCAACTACAGCACAGTCCCAACTATAGTTTGGGTGGTCCAACTTTTAAGTTTTATGCCAGACAGTTGGTTGGGGCTTAAATTAAAATAATTACGGTCCCCCCCCCCCCAAAAAAAAAACCTTTCATGATTTGGGCCTGATGTTGAATTTCTCAAAATAGTTCATCCAGAAAATTCAAAGACTAAGTTATGCAGTTATTGATACAAATATATTACAAACAGCAAAATAGCAGAAGTTTTAACTGTTTACCTCAAGTTGTATTAACACAGGCATGTATCACTGATGACAATGATGAATAAACTGATTGATAAAATGAGGAAACAGTTTATTTTCCTGGATTATGGCAATCATTTGAAATTACCTCATCAACAGCTGAGAAGTTTGAACCATCGTGATATCTTCGTGCTTAAAAACACATGTTAAACTTGACCCGGGAAATCCATACCCAGCGGTCAGCTTCCACTGCTTCCGGACCAGCAGTATAGTGGGGATTTCCCAAAACACTTTTTGTAGCGCATACATCGGTCTGAACTCACACCTTCGCCGTAAGCTTTTACGTTGTTAAGCCGACCAGACGGGTGCAGATATAGTGCGCCCCCATCCGGCCAACAACGTACAGTTTAAATTTGCCGCACTCCGCCCTATTCTTGATTTGGATAGTGGGACCGGGATCGGGACGAGAGAACAGTGTATTTAAATCATACGGAAGTTTTTTTTTTAACTATAAAATTTAAATGCCCCAAAATACTCTGCTTGAGCTCTACTTGTTTCGCAACGAATCCAAAAGTGTTTCTAAATCCATGTCATAATTTATAGCAAGGAAATTAATAGAGAAGTCAACTAGATTTTGCTTTTGCCATTGGCGCTGGCTGATCTATGTTTCGATGATGCACGTTCAACGTGCCGGCATTCTGATGTTTGGAAAAGTGAAGAGTTTCTACAGAAATCCTCCATCTGGAAGCTGACATGTATCGTGACAGAACATTTGCACAGGCGTTGGTCTGCCATCATATGCCACCCCTGCAGGACTGTGTGATTTACAACCAGGAACCCAATTGAAATCGTCAAGTTTCCTCCGATTTATTATTTTTTTTATCAAAGTGCAGGGATCCGAACACTCTGTTCTTTGTTTAAACAAAGTTTTAACATCGCTTTCAAGAAAAAATAATTGGGGTGGGGGACTAGCGACTAGCGAGGCGAGCTCCAAGCAATAAAAGGGTCGCCACTGGCTCGTCTCCACCATCCTATCCTGGAATAGGACCACGCGGTAGGGACGGGGAAAGGTGCGCCACTTTGCAAATAAATGTACGTGGGTTCTATTTATTATCACCCATAATGTAAACATAAAGGTCCAATACCTAGTATTATAGCACAACCAGTGCCTCCGACTAGTACTTCAGCCCAGTCATAGCAACTCCATTTCATTTATCAATCATAATTAAGTTAATTATTAACTTGATAGCGCATGCAAGGCTCGGCTGTACTGTCGACTGGGCACATTACAAATATTGGCCGATAACCTGAAACTTAATATTCAAGCTTGAATTCAGCTACATGCCAACAATAAATTCATCTGAAATGAAGTATGAGAGAAGGAAATCTTCCAAAGGAGTTCGTCGGTTTTGAGAGAAATAGAAGATTTGGTGGTTGTCTGTATTCTTGTGCTTAAACATACTTTCCATGCTTGAACGTGATCAACTTGTACTTTGAAGAAATTAGAAACAGCACTTTTCTCCGATGACTTCGAGGTACTAGGTATCGATCAAACAGTTACTGATGAACCGTCACTATGAAACATAAAAGCTATCTCCACCGACTTCTGCAGAAAATGTTCGCCTCCTTCTTCTACAATCTCATTCTTGTCACGAAGAGGTCGGTGGAGCTAACCAGAAAGGCTTGTCAAAAGTGGGGAGCGGTGCAACACAATGGCGGGCCCATGACATTGGGAGTTGGCACTGTGACGAAGCCGTGTTTCCTGACCGAGAAACTGGTGGATTTTCAGGCGGTGTTCTGGCTGCTGACCCTGCTTGCCACAGCGTCGACTTTGATGCTGTGGTTTTCAGTTAGCACTTTGTACGGTGAGTTTATAAGCACGGGAACATTTTGTACAACGGTAAAAAGAAAAGTAAACCAGTAGATTATAAATCTGTAGGATCACCTACCGCCGTCCTATATCGTACCCCTTTACATGGGCGTCGTGGGGGCGGGGGGGGGGGGGGGGGGCTTGTTCCCCCCCGGAAAAGCAGCAAAACAAAACAATACCCCAAAAGGAGGAAATATTGCTGTTAATTTGATAGGTGGGGCAGGCAAATGTCCCCCTGCCCACCCTCGATAAAATGATAAATTGAGAATATGCTGGAAAAGTACAGGGATTTGGGGAGGGGGGGGGGGGGGAAACGTGCTTTGCCCTCCTCACGAAAAAAAATCCTAGCGACGCCCATGCCCCCTCAATCCAAGTATTTCGAACTTCAGACTTCCAGCCATCAGAGGAATGTAGCCTCTATCATGGGCGTCGCCAAGATTTTTTCTAGAGGGGGGCAAAAAATTGTTTTGCCAAAAAATGCTTGTATTTCTCAACACATTCTCGATTTATCAGTTTTAGAGGGGGGCAGGGACATTTTGCCCCCCCCCAACTCATTAAATTTACACCACTTTGTCTTCGCGCCTCTTTTTTTTTTCTTTTTTTTCTTTCTTTTCTTCCCCCCCCTTTTTTGGGGGGGGGGGGGGTGCTTTTCCGGGGGGGGGGGGGGGGCAAGTGCCCCCCTTGCCCCCCCCCCCCTCGCGACGCTCATGGCCTCTATGCTGCTACATAATTGCATCATCAACAATTCTTCTTTCACGGACCAACATCCCAAGTTCGCTCTGATTATCAATTGTTCATAGCATGGACGTAGAATGCCGCTGACGTCTGCGCCATCCAATGTGCAAACAGCTCAGAAAGCCATACCAAAAACCAGGCGTGGTCCAATATACAATGTATAACTTTTTAAAGGAAAAAAGCTGGCTGGCAGCCTTTGATACCAGCCTTTTTGAGATAGTGCTCTCAATTAACGTTATGATGCGTTTAATACAGGCGTCTCAGAGGGTGTTTGTTATATTAATTTGGTAAGATGAACAAAAGGTTAACTCACACCAATCAAAGGAATACAAGACCTCTAAATGCGTCTGTGGCTCAGGGGCCGGGATGTTCTTTTTAAGCTCTGGCAGAAGCATCTACATGTCACTTGGTGGTCGGTCGGTCGGTCCTGTGCGCCCCTGAAAATTGACCAAATCTTGACGAAAGTTGTCGGAAAATGGGCTTTGTCTCGATCGATGCGCATGCGCGTCTATTTTGCATATGTCTGTCCCTATGGTTTGTCCCCAGAAAATGTACCAAAAAATGAGCGCCTTAAGTTTCCCATAAGATATAACTACCAAATTTCAATTTAAAGAAAAAATCGAACAAAAGAACTGAAATACATTACAAACAATGTTTGTAAGTTTTTCATGAACATTTTGAAAACTAATGGAGACAATTATTATAATGTGTAGTAAAGTTATAGTCACGTGGTATATAGCGCGCTATTTTTGTGTGGGAAACTTGGGGATTTGGTCATTTTTTTCAGCGCGTGATTTTCGTGTGGGACGGCGGCCCGGGCTTGTACGCACAGTCATTAGTATGCAAGGCGGTCAAAGTAAAGCTTATTGTGCACTCTCACTTGTTTATTTTCATTTAAGGTTTATGCCTACTCATACCAATCCTGGTGATACAAAACCCGTGGTCTCTAACTTTCGCAAAAGGTCTATATTTTTTTTTCAAACAGAGTTATTATAGTTCTCTGATTTCAAACTGCACAACCTCACTGCTCTCACTGTGAGCACAAGGGACTACGTCATTGTTAGTCTACTGCGTGCCTTCCTTTCATCTATTCATTGGTTACGTAATAATTCTTTGCTCTTTGATTGCTACGTGGTCATTCATAATCCTTGTGGACATAATCACACCCAGCGCACACAAGTGCGTTGGCACTTGTAAGCTATAAAGGAGGGAATATTGTACGGTATTATTGTGGCTGTGCAGTCTGTAGTTAACGTTGGTTGGCAATTTGACATAAGAATGATTGGACAGATAACGTGGACAGGATATCATGCATGTTGGATTCCATGAGATAGTGGTCATCTGGATAAGATAACATGAACCTCCGATCAAGACGAGATCACGCCGAAAAGTTCCAACTGATGATCCATTGAAGTTCAACCTGAGTTCATCGTCGCTTTGGAACCGATGGTATTGCTCTCTTAATCCACTGGATTTGAAAAAGAAATGTGCCCAATAACTTGACCTACTGATGGTGGTATGGTTTGAAAAGGCTTCGAGAAACCTTTGCAAAACCTTAATTTATGCTAGAAAATATGCCGGTATAGCATTTGACATTGAAGGGTCACAGTGGTACGGTCCACCACATGTGAAATCTTCCAGATCAAGAACGCCTAGAAATCGCTGGTGTCCTCCATAATATTTCTGCAGAATTCTGGGACAATTTGCGATTGTGGAATTGAACAAGTTGGACTTCAAAACACCCTGCACTGTATATCAATACAGGTCACAATGATGAGTCGGCTCATCAAATGGCTGCCCAAGTCCGCTAGGTACTACTGCTCGCTCAAGTCCCAGGCGATGGGCAGAACGCTGATTGTGTTGATGTGGGCCCTTGCAGGGTTTGCTCTCGTATCGACAGGCGTTCTCTGGCGGTCTCTAGACAGTGAGTATGGGAAGACTGGAGGATGTAGACAGTGGTGAAAGTAGAGAGGTGAAGGTGATGATGGGGATGTGAGGAGTAAGGATGGGAAATTAGGGGACTGAGAGGGGGTGATGGTGACCAGGCTTATTATGATGGGTTGATGGTGGTCAAATGGTGACGAGGGGGTGAGGCCTTCGTTAATGGGGTGACGGTGGATGGGTTTCTTTATTTTTCATTGTCCCGTCCAGTTTTCATCTTTGAACGTATGCCGCGTGTTTGTCTCTCGGGCTGTTTGTTATCCAGTGTTTCAAGGCGTGACCTAAGCTTTGCCTTCTCATGATCATGCCTCCATCTGACAATGATATATCGGACTTATTTTTTTTTTGCTGGAAATAAATGTTATTGAAATTGAAAACAATGATGTGGTAATGAAAGTGGAAAAAAAATGTTGCAACCTGACGCCACTTCAGCGTTTCTGTGCAAAGTCTGTGGAGAGTCAAGAATTTTTTCCAAGTAAGTTTCCTAACAAAATTGGAAATGTTTCTCAGTCCCAGATTCATGTCTTATCATTATTTTTGCAATGACTGACCTTCATTGAAATTATATGAAGTGGCGTCAGGTTCCAACATTTCTTCCATGACAAAGACCATGTGGTGATATTGATGTGACAACAAATGAAGTTATTATCAATACGATGTTTGACAAAAATGACGACATGACAAAATGACAACAGTACAGTGGTTGTATATCAGTAACTAAAATGTTAAAGAGCGCCCCACATATAGAAACCATTCAACCCATATATTACCGCAAGGGCGCCACCAATATCCGTGTGGAAAACTCCATCAAATTCGAAAGCGGTACATGTCGTCTCTACTGTTAATTAGTCCAATTCGGATGGCAGTAATAATTCTTTTCATCCAAAACAGGAAAAAAAATCTTCACCCCAAAGACAAGTGGAATTTTTTTTCGCTGCAAAAGAAACTACTCATGGCATTAAAGTTAAGTTTGAACCTCGAGTTGATTGGGAAACACACAGGTCTTCAAAGTACAGTGTATGCATTTTCTTTTTATTTTCCCACAATGCCAAGGTGTGGAACAAGATGGTGGAGAACACGGCTTTTCTCATTGGCTGACCAGATTGCGCAGAAGCATTGACCTCGTTTCTGACCCCAACCAAAGAGTGTCCATACGTAGTAAAGGTGAGGTGATGTTGTTTACACTTTCCACACTCCTTTTTGTTTAAATAGATTACATTTTCTTTTATGATGGATGATTTTTTTTTAAAGGGATGAAAAGTCCGAGAACCATTCGGTAGACAACTGACGAGTGACGCATGCGCGCAACGATCGACTTCCGTAACAAAAAGCAACAACGAATTAAAAAAAGATATACGATTTTGTCCTCGTCATCCTGTTTGCACTTCATTCCAAGAAGACAATTTAATTACTGAGGCCGAGATCTTCAAACGAATTGGACATTTATTAACGTGCAGTAAATCAAATCGATCCAAGGCAAGGAAATTAAGCCGTTCTTTAATAAAAACATTTACTGATAGATTAAATGCAACGCCGTCAGGAAATTAAAGACCGCTATAGGAGGTCAGGTACATTATATTTACGAGGCTACGAACATTCGTGATCTCTGGTATTTTTTTGTTTTGTTTAAATTCAAACAGCCACCCACCATTTGTCCACTGCTTGCAATCATCCGTCGTCGAGGGTCAAACATTGAATTTACTACGGCAGAATGAGAAACACTCAATGTCTTTCCGGTTAACGTGCTTCACTTCTAATGAAAAAAAACCCAAAAGATTTCCAGGATATTTCTACTTCAAACATGAATGATTTAGGTTTTGGGTGTTGAAGTTCGGATTACGTGGCTTCATTTTTAGCAATTCCACACATGTTTATAAGTGCGTGAGAATGAATGACTGCACATGCGTGTTCATGAGGTATATATAAAATCAATCAACCTAATTCAGTCGATTGGTAATATGGATTATTTCCACAAAAAAATAGAAGAAAGTACTCCAACAATCCCTTTTTTCACGTTCGAGAGATAGAAAGAGACCTCAATTAAACTGCAGATCTATATGAATATGCAGAATTATTGTTATTTTTATATTTAAATACCACAGATATCAGGTATGGCGAAACAGATGAACTTTGCGAAGAGAGTGATTTCGCTGGCAGTGGTAAGCTAGAATAGAAAATGGAGTTTCTTTGGAATTAAAGCATTACAAAAAAAATATTTGACGCCATCAGTATGATCATCTTACACAAACGGAGCCCTTTAACAGCGAAGTACGTTCAGTTCATGCTCGTTGAATGACTAGTTTTACTGATGCATTGACCACTTTTTAGTCTTTACGTTAAGTATTTACATGTAGATGTTTGCAACACCCTTCATATCATCACAGTGAAGTATAGTATAGATTCTTTTTCGTTAGTTAAATAAATAGAATGTCATAAGATATTGTTATAGCTCTGTCTTGAATACTGTAGTTTCATTGGCCTACAATGATCACGTGTTCAGTTTATAAAAAGTCATGGCACACTCCCTGTGGGATTGTGCTATGACTTTGTGCGTACGGTACGTACGCGTTTCACACGTAAAACGCATCGAATTTGCAGGTCTGATCCCGATCATAGATATAAAATATTTTTTATTCTATATGATCTATGATCCCGATCAGCTGTTTCGAGCACGCGACATGCATGTGAGTTGACGGTCGATTGTCATGATTGCTGTGTTTACTGCTGTTTGTTTTCGTGATTTTTCAAAATCCAAAGGATCCAAGACATAGGTACATTTACAAAACAAATGTTGACTGGTGTGATGTGGGATATGACGTTTTGAACACCCAAGGGGCGCATGTACCCTCGGCGAACACCCTCGGGGCGCATAGCGGCCCTCGGGTGTCCAAAACGTCATATCCCACATCACAGCAGTCAACAATTGTTAAATGCATGCCTAGAAAAGCTGGTCCCAAAGCGCACACAATTCTTTTCAATTGATTCAGAATGGCTATTCACTGGTAGTCCTGTCATGCATCTGGTCTACACAATGGACTGAATGTAGCTCATGTTTGGCGTTACGGGGTAACCCTATACGATAGCACTGCCTGCCTCACAAGTGAAAGTGAGTCAAGTCAGTGACTCAGTGAGTAAGTTGTATATATAAGTTATATCCAATGGGCTTAGCATTATGAGTCGTGTCTTTCGACAATAATGATCTGGCAGTTCTCCTGATAATCTTACATTTTCTTTGTTTTCTTTACCAGACGGTAACGTAACCTTACACATGAATTGGACAGAACTTTACCATGCTGAAGAGGAAGTCTTACGAACATCCACGAATTCTATAAGGAACTATCTCAAGACGGATAACAAACTGGTTCAATCTATGTACTTTGATGCCGCACATGGCGGCCGACGACCACGCAGGAAACAGCCGCCAACTTCTGTCGCCGACGCGCTCTCCGAGGGAGTATTAATTGATGATTATTATTATGTATCCGGAGGACACTGGATACCAGCCACGTGCCATCCAAGATGGAAGGTATGCCTTAATTTTTAGATGGTTGCCGGCTGGTAAATATAGTACTGTGCCAAACTATTTTTTAGAAAGGGTTGCTTAAAAGTAATATCTTAAAAAATAATGATACTGAAATATTACCTTTTTGGTATATCCAATCGTATTATGTAAATTGCACATAGTTCAGACTACAAAAAGTATGATTAATGAAATTTTCTTGTCATTTTTGGGCTACATGTATTATTATTATTTTTTTTATTTTACAGGTGGCAGTTATTGTTCCCTTTAGAGACAGATATTTCCAACTGCCCATTTTTCTGAGAAACATAGTGCCGTTTCTCAAGCGACAAAAATTGGAGTTCGGAATCTACGTCATCGAACAGGTGAGATATAGTCATGTAATGATGTGTTCTATAAGGATTCAGACACTGCCTCCTTCATGCGACTCAACCTCGTTCTTTCCACGCATCTCCAAATCCATGCGGATGTGGCAACGAGTTCGACCCCTTTCCGTTTGCTCGATCTGATCCAAACATTTACAATTAGTATCAATCTCACTTTAGCTCAAAATGTTCTGCCGTTCTAGGGTTAAGCTGCACTTTGCACCATCCCTGGAAGTGTTGTCGAGTTTTCCATCACTATAGTCTTCACAAGTCCAATTCAGTCCGTAGTCAAGTTACAAGCTATTCAAATGAACTGTTGTTGTTGTTCACTATTACTTGTTTACTATATCTTGTGACATTCACTATTACTTGTGGCTGGACTTGAAAGGACTTGACTTATTTGTGACTGCAATTCTAATGGACTTGACTAAATGACAACACTGACTTGGTACATCTCTTTCAATCTTCGGGTGAAGTTCCAGATGACTTTAAGCTCAACTTCCCACTCCTGTCAAGTTCTTTGTTCAACCTGATAGGAATGTTTCAACTTTCAACATGAAGCTCTCACCAAGAGTAGCTTTTAGCGCTGTAAGTGTATGATTAAAATTCCAATGAAACACGTGTTGCGTATCCTGATACGAAAACTGCCACACTCTGTCCGTATTGATGTGTGCACGGTATGGATTTTTTTCAACGAAGAAATGGACAGTGTTCTCAATAACTACATGTAAATGACAAACAGATCCACGGAAACAGATGTCCCAGATATCCACGGATAGAAGTCTTCCCCGATTTAGTATGGCATAAACTTCTCGCGCTATCGACCGTGGCTTCAAGTTACTACGGCGACGCTTCAGGTGCACTGTTTTGAGAAGTGTGAATGATGTTCAATCTTGCCGTCGGAGGGATGTAAGAGATACATTTCACGACCTGAAAATGCAGTATCTGCATGCATCGATTTGTCATTCTACATGTAGGCCTATCTCAACATTCGGATTGTGTTTTATTGACTTACCCGCGCATCCATCCCCATACACTTTGTGCGGCATGTTGCGAAAAAACCCTTACCCATTTCGCTATACAGTCGAGAACCCTTTATAACAACGTCCTTGGGACTTTACAAATTACCTTGTTATAACAGGTACCTTGTATTATCAGTAATGAAAAACAAAGGAAAACAAAGAAAAACAAAGACTTGGGGCCTAACATTTTCCTTGTTATAAGCAGGATGTTGCATTAACAGTGCTCTTTTTATCAGGGTTCGACCTATACAAATTACTTTTTATTTTGGTTAGTCATTTACAAGCCCTTATACTGAAGACGTGAATCAACACACGTCACAAAGAAGGAAGTTGTTTTGTTTTCTGATAGAATAATATTGGTGATGTCATCACAAACATTGATTGCACAGTATTCCTCTTACACGCTGCAAAATTACAAGCTTATATTATACCACGGAAATTAAGAAAAGTACATGAACTTCAATGTATTTTTCAATGATGACAACGAAAAGCGTTGGCTCACGTCATTATAGGCCTACAGGATCATCTACATGTAATTGGTTTCCACCATAGAGCTAGGCATTACTCTCAGCCCCTCGTTTTGCATTAATTTATCGGAGGATGCGCCGATGCTGCTTTAGTAAAAGTTATGAGCACTTGATCGGGAAGTATGTCCATTAGGAAAGCTTTCATGAGTCAAGCGATGTGTTTTCATTCATCCCATTGGCAGGAATTAATTGGGTGCACAGCCGGGCCGGATCAGAATTGCAAAAAGCCATGCAGTTTTATGTGACACATGCTATGAAGAAATTAACGAGCGTCGACGACTGCTTCCCTCAAAAGAAACTGTTGATATCGGGAATGTATTTGATTAATGTTCTGTCTGGAAAATGGCCACTCAGTTTTTTTTCTGGAAAAGAAACTTGATATCGGGAATGTATTTTGATTAATGTTCTGTCTGGAAAATGGCCACTCAATTTTTGTCTGGGAAAAAACTGTGTAAGGATACGGAAAGGGAACGGAAGTACATTTTGTAATTAGGGAAGACAGTGATTCAATCACCAATCACTTACCACTGGATTTTTTTTCAGATTTTTTTTTCCAAGAGATGTGAAAGTCTTCTGTCGTTTCGCGCAGCGGTTAAATCGAGGCCCACCGTGATAGCTGGTTTTTCTTCAATGACAATATGAATCACTTCGTTTTTCTTATCTGTTTTTTTTATGAATAATTTCTAATGTGATTTCCGGGCACCTCAACACTAAAATCGGGCGCTATATTTGAAAATTGTTATGAGGAAAAAGGCTCAAGAAGCCTACGTATACATGCATTGTACACAGCGTGGATTGGGCTATGATGGCTGAGACCAATTAAAGGGAAGATACAACATTTGCAAACATCAAAAACGAAATGATCAAATTATCACGAAATATCTTACTGGATTATTAGGGAATGACATTCTAAATCATCCTGTAAAATCATGGCTCCTGGTGTGCTGACATTTTCAAGAAAATTGGCTTTTTTTCAAAAACTGCTCTTAATTTTTCATAATTAGTGTTGCCGCATTTTCTTTGCAATTGATTACACACCTGTGAAAGTACAAGCCTGCTAGACTGATTCTCTGACCTTACAATTCCCCAAAGTCGACAAACTGCTCCGTTTCATCTTGAGTGGGGTCAGGGAACCAGACTACAAGAACATGATGTTTTTCTTGGTTTTTCCAGCATCTTCAAGCCCAAAACGTGAAACAAGTCAGTTTAACAATATTTTCTATAACATTCTAGTCTCCCAAATCTATTTACTACTGAAAATTGCAGCAAGAGCAAATGTTGTACATTCCCTTTAACATTTCCATATAACCTACACTGTAAAGCTTAAAGATTTAGGTTCAGAGTCAGTGGTATAGGCCAACATTGCAGTGCCACGTGGACAGCAATAAAGAGGCTACAAATTTGTCATAGTTATGAACCTTACCATAAAGCACCGGTGCCCCACGCCTTGTACGTTCACGTCTTGCTTACAGCACTCTCTCTGTTACATTTTGTCACAACACAATTTCAAAGGCACTCTGGAACTCCATTGGCACCTTATGGCAAATTAAAAATCCAGGAGAACACAATTCAGTCCTTAAGTTTGTTATTTCCGTTCTAGCTGCTCGTTTAAGTAAGACCATCGACTTGTTTCTGATATAATATAGCCCTCTATCTCTTCGAATTTCAAAGGAGTTCCAGGGAGTGTATAACTATAGGAATAGACGATCACCCCACATGGAAACTCGAGTAAAAACTCGATATATCTGATTGAATGAATTTCATTCTTATTCGTCTTTTCCCTAGTTTCAAACGGACGGTGTGAATCGAACAGAGTGACTTTTCACTCTTTAGAGTGTTTATATGCAGCTTCCATCTGCTAAAGCCATTTTCTTGTAAAACATTTCTCAGAAACTCAGAAAGTTGACTGGACACCGCCGCTAGGCATCATCATCCAGTCTGACTTCACGCCGGTGCCGCGGTGTGAAAACATATACATTCAATTTCGTATTCTTGTTTTCATGTACCTTGCAAGTATGTTTGTTTGAAGTGAAACTATATTATAACATTCTGTATCTGTACCTGCTAGATGGTTGTCCATATGCATTGTGTATAAGTCTAAAATTGCTCTCCAGAAATATTTTATAAAACATTGTACATTTTCATTTGTTCATGTGCATCCGTGTCAAAGTTTGTGTTCTTATAAGCTTCATCTTCTATAGCGATCATGCGATCGTCCTTCTCATTCGTCAGATGTATCACATTAACTTTGAAAACTTTCGACTTTTCGGACAGGCTAACGAGTTGGAGTTTAACCGAGCCATGCTGATGAATGTAGGATTCCAACAAGCCCTGAATTTCACGCATTGGGATTGTTTTATCTTCCATGATGTGGACCACCTCCCTCTGAATGATGCTAACTATTATGGATGCAGCCACATGCCGAGGCATTTCATATCCGGCGCCGATAGATGGAATTACAAGTACGCACATTTTCCTTCAAAAAAACATTCTTTTACTTATGCACTGTCCGTGCTTTTGTCAAATTTCCCTTTCTCTATTCCGAAAAGTAAAAAAGTGACTCACTTTTTGAACGAGACATCGAACGAGAAATCGCCTCACGTTTAGTAATTACTTTACATAATTTGCAGCCCGATAATTCACTTCTCCTGGGTAGACTGGTTTCCCTCCAGTATCAAAATCCATAATGTAGGGAGCCATTCTACATGTATATAGATATGGCAGGGTCTGTATACGTCAGTAACCCAAAATAAAAACCTTTTTTTCAGAGGGTTGCAGACCAGAAGTTTTCTCTTTAAGATTCGTTCCCTGTGCCATTTTGGAATTTCACCTCGAACAAATACATTTGATTTTTTTCAATTGCTATTTTCCTAGCAATATAAAAGTTATTCACTTTTGAATGAGACTTCAAACAAAGAAGTTTAGTTATTAAATTATTTCTTCACAAAATCGAATGACTAGCTGCCAGACAATAAATCGGCTCAGGCAGGGCGGGTTCATTTGTGCACAAATTGAAAACTCCTTTTTTTCAGAGGGTTGCAGACGCCCAAAATCGGAGTAAAGTAGTTTTTCCTTGGAACAAAACAAAAAAAATTTGAAAATTCATTAGGAGAACAAACTCTATTTTTATAAGAGCATGCGGTAAGCACTTTAACATAAATCATATAAAAACAATCAAAATTGGTTGAAGAGCACGAACAGAGGCCGGGTGCTGACAAAGAAAGGTCGTCTCCGATGTGAATGGATTGTGTTATTAAAGTGTAAGGATCTTTATAAGATAATGTTAAACATCTTTTTAGCTTTTCCTCGTCAAAAAAGAAGACAATTTGACCTGCGGCGTCCCACTGGATTTCCGTTCGGCCGTGCACGCGCCGAATTCGTGTTGAACTATATCTAATAGGTTTACTTTGAAAAGCCATTATATACGAAGGCCAAGTTGACAAACCATGCAGAGATAATTATGTACCACAAATATATTGCCTTCCAAAGGTATCAGCTATAGGCTATTTAACAAATGTTGACTGCAGTGATGTGGGATATGACGTTTTAAACACGAGGCGAAGGCCGAGGTAGCTATGCGCCTCGAGGGAGTTTAAAACGTCTGATTCTTTAAATTTTGATGTAAAAATCACGAAAACAAACAGCAGTAAAGACAACAATCATGACAATTGAATGTCAACTCACATGCATTTTGCCTGCTCGAAACAGCTGATCGCCTGCTAGTTCGCTGCTCCCACTCATGAGCGAAAACATGGTGAAAATAGCGTGGGTACCAACGATACAAGCGTTTCACACCGCACGCACCGTACCGTACGTACGTGATATCCCACAGGGAGTGTGCCAATACTTTTTTATAAACTTAACACGTGATCGTTATGGGCCAATGAGTACAGTACAGGGGTATTACAAAGCCCATACCGGTATAGGACTGAATGATGAAACAAGAATTACGTGTTTCACGTTGATGTAGGTAAAAAAAAAAATACCAAAACGGTGGTATGATACCACCGTTTTGGGAAATCAGGAATTTATACTATTCTCAGAGAAAGTTTTCAATATGTTCATTGATAATACCGTATTTGTAAGCCTAAAATGTGATGTATTTTGAAAAGATCTCATCATTCGCATTGCGTCTCAGTGATCGTGATTAACCGCTCCATTTTGCAGGCTGCAGTACAGTTTCTTCTTCGGCGCCGTGACCGGATTCACTCGCTCCCAGATCCAAAAGTTCAACGGGTTCCCAAACGCCTACTGGGGGTGGGGAGGGGAGGATGATGATATCTTGATACGAATCCAAGCCAACGGCTTCTTCAAGACCCGACCCTGGGGTGTGACGGGGTTCTACAATGTCATCGCTGAGCATCACAAGAGTGCCCCCAAGAATAAGAAGAGGTAACATTGGAAGGTGTTTGAAGGTTCGCTCCTACCCACCCCTGGCCTGCAAACAGGACGCTGGGAAGGGCTGATCTCTTTGAGCTCTCATTAAATAGATTTTGCGTGACCTCCGACGTAGCACGTAGCGCACACACTCGCGTAGCAAGCGCTAGCTAGCTGCATGCGAAGCTCATGATAAGTTACCCAGAGTGCCATGCGTACTTCCTTCACAATATTCTGTGAAGCTCATCATCCCTTCCCAGAGCCCTGTTTGCAGGGCAGGGGCGAAGTTTGAAGGTTGCAGCCGATCTGAATACATGTAACTTGACTGCGGGCGGCATTAACACGGCTTGTCTATCGGATGTGAATTCAGCCGCAAAGGCGCTTGTAGTGCTGGTCGATTGTATAGCCAAGTAATTCAAACGGGGCACGACCGATATGTGTCTTCAGAACATACTGAAGCCATTAATCAGGGATCACATTTAAGCTTAATGAAATTCAATCCAATGCTTTCTTCTGTATTTTCAGGGTTTGCCTTCTCGATTACGCCCGAGAGAGACTGAAGACCGACGGCCTATCCAACCTGATCTACCCGCCAGTCCGAGTCAGTCTGACCCCGCTCTACACCAATATCGCGGTCAATATTACAAATCTCGCGTGGAATCCCGCCTGGACAGTGTGCACCCGAGATTACAGGAGAGCTAAGAAGGAAGAGGTCGTGGGTTGGAAGTTTGAGTGATCTGGGACTATGGGGCCATAAAGCTGAAACAGTAATGCAATACCCGCTAAAGGGACAGAAGTTTCAAATGTGGAAAGGATTCTTACCCATTTGAGTATCGGATAGTGACCGAGAATGTTGAAAGCAAACGTGTCAAGGATGAGGTGCATGATAGCCTATTGTCAAGGCGCTTATTTTAGATCGGATTTCATCTACGGATCATGCTGGTCGTGATTTCCAGACAAAGTTCGGCTCCTGAGATGCAGTTTGAGTATTTTGACCCTCTCATCTCCAGGTCGACAACCCGTGGAGGCTATAAAGCCGATCTGAAGTACTTTGGCTAAAATCCTTGCGTTGGAAATTGTGTGTGGCCCACCAGCAAGTATAAACCGCATAAAACCTTACGTTATTTGTTATTTACGCCGATTTGCAACCGCGTGCACACATGCCCCTTTCTTAATGTGTATAAAGCTGTCTTAAATTAATTTTTTTATATACCCTCTGCATGCATTGTCTTCACTTGTATTTTAATACTTTTAAATAGAATTTACGAAGTTAGAATAGTAATATTTTCCGGTCCGTAAAGGCAATTGGACAAGCAGTGAGTATTTGTATAACTTTGTTATCCTACAGTACATGTAGCTTAATATTTGGATGCAATAAATGTATTTCTTTCTTGGAAGATCAAATAAATGTGGCAAAACTGACCTACAAAGAAACTTTATTTTGAGAACAAAAGTTAATAGGATTCGGGAACCCAAGCGCATCGTTATATATATAATGCCCTGAAGTCGCTCCCTTCTTTAGTTGGAACCACGCCCTGTTACGGTTACCCTACGTGACCGGAGGACCAGCTGCTTAGAAAATTAAAAAAGCAGCCGGGGGGGGGGGGAGAGGGCTTGACTTGACTCTATCTGACTCTTGGGGAAGCTTTTCAAACATAAACATAAACACGGACTTGGATACATAATTGCGGGTTATCGCTAATGGCGTCCCTGTCCCCCCCCAAAAAAAAATAGGAAGGGAGGGGGAGGGGGGATGTCCCCCTCCATCGAGATCGCCGTCCATGCCCTTTCATATGATATAGAAACACCAACTATATATCCACTGCAGTTGTGCACATCTTTAAGAATAACCACCACTTCGTTTACACAAGACGTAACATCCATCGTAATTCAAACCATATTAAAAAAAAGTCAAGAATATTAATATACTCAAGATTACACTGTATGTTTTGTATGCAGGCTCCGTTTCCCGACCAACATTGATTCGATTATCAGCTATCATATTTCGTGACATTTACAGCCGAGACCTATGAGTCGGAGTCCAATAATCTGTCTGCCTCCACTCGATGTCATGCTAAATTTCACTTTCTTAATATCGCATAGAACTACAAATCGGCATGAAACTGAACCTAACAACATAATGCAGCTTGCTGCGATGGAATTTATGACATTGTCTTTATAAAGCTGCGGGAAACATGCAGATTTTAAATTCCAAGAAGGTCACTGGCGATTCCCATTTTATTGCACAATTAGCAAAACAAAATTAAGCCATATACAGAACACACTATTTCAAGCCCTTGGAACAAATGGAAAGGTTATGTTTGAAGGAAGTTTCATCCCGCCTAAATTAACAGATGTACACATTTCTATCTGATCCAGGCGCGGATCCAGCCGGGGAGGGGGGGGGGGGTCAACCTCCCCCAAGCTCTGTCAAATATTTTTCCAAATTCCTTAAAAAAAGACCCCCCCCCCGCTCCGACACCCAAATCTTATTTTCTAGTAATAATGTCCGCCTTGCACAAAATACGTACAGAGCCAGCTTGGTTAGGGGGAATAATCATTATTCTGTGATATAGTGTTAATAATCGTCGGATTTGAACAGCGCCCCCACTGAAAGTATGGTACGAGCACCCCCCCTTTCTTTTTCCCAAACGAGATCGGACAATATCAAAGAGGGCGCTCTGTCTGCGTTATGCATATTCATGATGTTCAGGGAAATTAGAGAATAAGTTATATACAGTGGCGTAGCCACCGGGGGGGGGGGCGTGGGGGGGGCGACCGCCCCCCATGAAACCTTGTCGCCCCCCCAGTCGCCCCCCCCCCACTGAGATTTTGAGTTTCTAAAAAAATGTATCATTGATCTACATGACGCCATGGGCGTCAATCCTGGGGGGGGGGGGGGGGGGACAGGGGACATGTCCCCCCCCCCACTTTTTGAAGGGTGGGGGACACAATATCAAATGTTCCCCCCCCCCAGATTTTTGAACTCGTGTCTCATTTACAGGGCCCTATTATGTACTACAATGTATCTTTTGCTTAGAAAATATTGGTTAAAGTGGTCAGAAATTGCCTCAGATAGCACCACAGAGCATTTAGAATCCAAAATTTTTCGGGGCCCTTAAGCGGGCCCCGAACCCCACGCCTAAAGCTCAGAATTCCGGTAGCTGATTCAATGTCTCCAACCTCGAAAACAATGTTCTAACATTTTTCTTATGCCTTTAGCTGAGAAAACCTCGAAAATTATGTTTAAATTATTATCTTTTGTGCTAAGATAATTATTGGTTAAAGTGGTAAGAAATTGCCTCAGATCACACCACAGAGCATCGAGAATCCAATTTTTTTCGGGGCCCTTAAGCGTGCCCCGAACCCCACGCCTATAGCTCAGAATACCGATAGCTGATTCAATGACTCCAACCTCGAAAACGATGTTCAAATAATTATCTTTTACTAAGAAAATATTAGTTAAAGCATGGAGGAAAGTGGTAAGAAATTGCTTCAGATCACACCACAGAAAATCTAGAATCAAATTTTTTTTCGGGGCCCTTAAGCGGGCCCCAAACCCCACGCCGTAAGGGCTTCGCGCTCGGATTAGTTCTGATCAAGGTATGTCCGCCGCCCCCCCCCCACTTTTGAGAAGCGATTGACGCCCCTGCATGACGCCCCCCATGAAATGTTCCAGCCCCCCCCCCCAGCGAAAAATTCCTGGCTACGCCACTGGTTATATAACAAGGAATAATACTGTTTAAATCACCGACGATTGGCAGCTCATTCGTGGACTGGTTGGAAGAAAAGAAGCCCTGACTTCTGATCAGGTGATCCGAGTTCGAATCTCAGAGTGAGCGTTTTTCACTTCTTCTCATTTTACCTATTTATGAAGGAACATTTCTCACAAGACGTAAAGCCTATCTTGGGTTTGTGTTATGGAGAACAAGGCATTAGATATGCATGTAATGGACCAATCAGAAGATGGAAAGCGGATGTCGTTTGGGAAAAAAGATTCGCCCCCGCTTTTTGATTTTACGGAGGCCAAGTGTCCGGAAGAAAAAAACGTGTCAACATTTCAGATTTTTTTGGCCGATAAAAACCTCACCCTGCGAAAATTCCTGGATCCGCCCCTGACATTTCTATCTGAACGGGCTGCAATTTTCGTGCATTTCGTGTGCGTTATTCAATGGATCTCGTATCTTTCTGTAAATGTTTAGGACTCAATGCGTCAATTCTCACAACGTTTACGTTAGGAAATGTTACCAATGGTAAACATCTTAGATTTATGAATCAAAGGGTTAGGATAATCTTTCAACAAGATTAACGAGTGTACGACTGAAATGTCCGTATTTCCCCTCACGGTTTTCGCGGAAAGATAAAAAGTGCACGCCAGCCTGAATAAATGCCATGATACTGCTTCAGTGTGAATGTCAAATCACGGGACATTCTTATCCAGCCAACACTTTTGATTACTTCATATTTTTTACGTCAACATAAATAACCATGACAACATCCGTCAACGACATATGGCGTTCTATACTTGAACATCATCCACGATATACACATACTATACTACACGAAGAAATACAACTTAAGATGAGACATTAAATTCAAACTCATGATTCTTGTAATTAAATAACGAAAACACGTACAGACAGTTTATGTTATACCGTCCAAATACACGACGCGTTGAAAAGAACATTCTCTGCGGCGTAAACTGAGAGAAACACTATGACTGATGGATGTATCATTATGAGGCACTTGCAGCCTTTAATACTGTCATAATGGAGACTCACATGAACAGACAGCGGGTAGTGGCGGATCTACGGATTTAAAAAAAGGGGGGGGGGGCTGTGGTGTTCAACTTACAATATTTTAAGTGGATAGGCCTATGGTTGTCACGAACGAAACATTTTGTTCTTAACGTACATGCTTGACTGAAAATCTATAATTAGACAGAGTAAGAACCTACGAAACGCTCTGATACCATTATCTCACCGTTAATACATAGACCTATAGGTTAAACAATATGAATACTTCCGTTTCACGATAAATTCACCACGCTCTCTAAACCCTCTCCGTAGACGGTAACCTTAAACAGCCCCCCCCCCAAAAAAAACCCCAAAAAACAAAAACAAACCCCAACCAGCAACGCTCAATAACATGAAACAAAATGTATATCTCCATGATGTTAAATCATTTGATGTTTTATTCTTAATTTCTCAAATTTATGACACTCAACATCAAATAGGACATTTTGGTGTTGACGTCGTGCCTTAGACGTCAATGTTGAATCTTCTGTACACCGTTGAAATGACTGTAGGCTCTTTGCATTTATAATACACATGACTGCCCATACCATTCGACTGCCGACACAAACCGTCACTTCCGATAACATTCATTGACATTTCGGCGCCCGAGGTGGCATTGCTGCGTGAAATGGAACATTAGACATAACCGCCATTATCAAACGACCAATGCTCTCTGTATGTGCAGCTCCCGCCCAGTTTGTATGAGTCTCAAGAGACTCAAGCGGAAGCTATTAGAGTTGGGAGCGGATGATCAAAAAATCACTCAAGCTCAACTTCTCAATTTTGACATTTATATTTAGGACATCCATTGGATTAATGGTTATATATGAGGACAGTGCGATGGTCTGCGAAAAAACACACATTTTTTTGGCGAATAATTAAGGCTGGAGCTTGTTGATCCTATACGACGTATACAAGAATTCCACATTTTGGCACGAACATTCGGATGTTGATACACATTTTCAGATCGGCGTTCCAGACTCGTGCCGAATCAAACTATTCCGATGATTTAAATTTAGCATTTGAAAAGGTCGACTTTTGAAACAACAATAGGGGCGAATACGTCGAAAGGTCGACCATTGCACGGTCGGTCGGAAGGATTCGCTCCAGAATCCGTTCGGTGCGACTCTTAACGCCAGTCCGAAACATGTTATGTTCGACAGAAAACATGCTCTTTGACAGAGCATTCGCGTGTATTTATTGCAAACATGACGCAAGCTGACATTCTTTGAGTTTCAGCCAAGAGGCCGAAAAAGAAAAGTAAGGTTTTCCAGAAAAAAACCCTGGAAGTATTAGACCTAAACTCCTGCTTTGTTTACATGTGCTCTTTCCTGTGAGAGCCAGGTGGGACGCGCACCTGGCTCTCATAGGAAATTAAAGTGCATATGGATAATTCCATAAGGGTACCAAAGTGTGACATTATGTTTGGATGCAAATATTTTCTTTAACCTTTGCAATTCAAATTTGTAGGACTGGTTGATGTTAGTACTTTAAACATAATATTTTCATTTCCCGACTTGATTTTCTTTTTATATGACGAAAAACATGGTTTCACGTGTCACGTGTCACATGGACACTGTTCCTGTTGCGCGTGAAATTGGTGACTTCATATTTCTGTTGGTTTTTATCGAAAATGTGTAATATGCATATTATTATATAAAGCATTAAAAAGATACTCGTGTCTGTTATGAACATTTGAATATTTACTGACAGGCTTAGGAAACAAAGCGCAAATAAGTTGCTAGTTTCACTTGTAACGTTGGAAACCATGGTTGGAAACCCGAATGTCCATTACAGTGTGAAGCAAAATATCTTTTTGTGCCATATATAATGTTAGCTTTCTTTGAACATTTCTGAATTCTATACATTTCATAGGCCTAAGCTAATAAATGACACTTATTATTCTATAAAATTCAAACATTTTCGGATGGACATGTTGCACTAAATAGTGGTTATTTCCATATTTAGAGGTTGGTTTCCCAATAATAATCTGAAGCATTTCATTCAAAATGTCTCAATTTTCTTTAGTGTGTAATCATACCAATTACTTTATGAAATAAAGGAGTTTCAAACTTTTTTTAGTGTAATCATGCAGATATTTATGACAAAAAAGATTTCACGTGTAACAGCAACACCAAAAAGTTAATGTGTTGTCCCCGTTTACACGCGAAACAACGTTTTTCATCATGTATAAAGAAGATAAATTTGATTTTTACTATTCATGTTTTGAGTGACAAGGACAAACCATTACCATATACTGAAACTGCAAAGAGTGCAGAAAATACATTATGTACAAAGTATGCATATAAACATGCATTGGCACCCTTATTTATGGAAACATTATTGTTGCTCATACTATGTTGCCATCCGGACTCTATAGATTGCTGACTAAATTGTGACGCATTTAGGGGAGATTTAGTAGACTGAAACTCCTCCAGATGTGGATCTTTATACAGTCACTATTTGCAAGAATGAAAACGTTTAAGTATGTCTGCTGCCACCTAGAGTCTGAAAGCCTCCATCAGATTTCTTTGTGGAAGGGGGGGGGGGGGAGGAGGAGGGGTCGTTGATAATCAGCTTGTTGAGTGCGACATTGGTCGAATGTCTCCGTTCTTTGACATGTTACGGGAATGGCGCTGACTTTCAGCTACCACGGTCCGTCTCCGACAGAAAATGTGGCGTATGAAGGCTGCATAACCCCGTCGGAACGTCGGGTTGGTGGTAGCGTAAATCACGCAGTTGACGCTGCTATTAGCATGGCACAAGTTAACAAACAACACGTACAGTGTTCGATTCCAAGTGTTCTGTGTATCAAACAGAACGTATACGGTGTACGGGGCCCACATGATGAGGAAAACAATCCACAACGTCATAACGGTGCGGAGCAGCGTCAAGTCCCTTCTTCTTATCCTACGCTTCCCCTGGCCCAGGGAGGCGAGCTCGTTAGCACCCTGACTTAGACGCCGCAGGGTCTGCCGGCTGGCCCGGACGAACAGTAGTATTCGAATGTAGCAATAACTCACGATAACGATAGGGACACCTACCCCGACTGACACCAAGAATATCGTGTAGCTGAGCGAGGCGGTGTAGTTGAAAGTACAGAACATGACCTTAGGATCGTAGGCGTGGCCGCCCCATCCAAGGAGGGCGGGTAAATCCATGAAGAAGCAGCCAATCCATAGACCAGCTAACATGGCGGCCATTTTGATGCCTGGTGTGTAGATGCGATGGTATCTGCAAAAACACACAAAAGAAGTACAAAAGAATGAAACTTACTTCGAAGAAAACAAAAAGGCATTGACCCATATCACATAAAACCAGCATTTATGCACAATAATGTTGCCATATACTAGTTCGCGGCGGAGGCTGCGTATACACGCAAACGATATGTGGTATTCGGAACGGATGACAGATACACACGCAGGGAGTGAGGCCGGAAATATCTGTCAGCGACCCGCCGGAAATATGAGTGTGCTGCCAGAGCTAGAGTGACGGCATCAACCCGCCTCGCTTGAGGTCGAGTGAAAAATCCCGCACCTCGTTCCGTTCTTGTCACAATGATCCCGGCATAAACTGGTCAGTAAGCGTCAAATGAAGACTATACAAGCATGAAAGTATATGGCCAGCGATGGGCACACAACACAGCCTTCCTCAGTAGCACAGCCTCAAACATTATTAAAACACCTCACCCACAGATTCTGTGTCTTGATTGGCCGAGAGCGAGTCACATGTTACTTTCTAATTTTGCTATCTTTCTGTGCACGGCCAAAAGTACTATGCGCATAGCAACCAAAGTACTATACCATTAGCAACCAAAGTACTATTTCCACGGCGCGGTATTTGTGTGCAAATGCATGCTGGTGTGCGTGTTGCGCGTTGTGCGTATTATTCCAAAGAGAGCGCGCCGCAGACTTGGGTTCAAACATTTCGTGAAAGGGTAGTTTTTAAGAGAGAAAAACATTTTCCACCAATTTTGTATTGAAATTGAAGTTTATTTCAACTGTGTTCAGATTTAAATAATTTAAAATATTAAAATCAAGCAGAATCTGTGGGTGAAGTGTTATAAAACAAATATTGAATGCCTTATCTCGTGGTGAAGTAAAACTAGCCTCCCGAGGTGATCCATGGACCAATCTATTTTCCCGAGGCGAAGCCGAGGGAAAATAGAATGGTCCATGGATCACCGAGGTATAGCATTCAATATTTGTTTTATAACACTTCTCCCACAGATTCTGCTTGATTTTAATATTTTAAATTATTTAAATCTGAACACAGTTGAAATAAACTTCAATTTCAATACAAAATTGGTAGAAAATGTATTTCTCTCTTAAAAACTACCCCTTCACGAAATGTTTGAACCCAAGTCTGCGGCGCGCTCTCTTTGGAATAATACGCGCTACGCACAACGCGCTACGCGCACACCAGCATGCATTTGCACACAAATACCGCGCCGTGGAAATAGTACTTTGGTTGCTAATGGTATAGTACTTTGGTTGCTATGCGCATAGTACTTTTGGCCGTGCACAGAAAGATAGCAAAATTAGAAAGTAACATGTGACTCGCTCTCGGCCAATTGCGCATGTGTAGGCACGAGAATATGCTATTCTTAGGATCACATACGGGAGAGTAATCTGTCACGTTCGAGGGATTATCCAATAATAGGGAAAAGGGGTCCGATTTTCATAGGAGTCGGATTTTCATATGACACCGGGTCAAAACGACACTCCTCTGACCCAGAAACCTTTGCAAAAGTGTCATTTAGACCCTAAAAAGCATCAGGTCTAATACAGAACCCAGTCATATTATCTGACCGAAGACTTTGTATAGTGTACGTTGTATTGTGGAATGTGGATATTGATTTCGATGAGATAGTGATTAGTTACTCAATGGGAACCTATATATAGACAAGCTCATCAGTATCCTGTTTTTTTTTCTTTGAATTTTAAGGACCTGATGCTGAAATGAGAATTGAACAGGCTGGTTTTCTACAAATGAAACACTCAGGCGCACAATGACATTTTGCAAATGTATTGCAAATATACCGTCACCCTAGCCACAGTCAATCCTCCAGTTTACTATATGCAATCATTCGACCTAAGAAGTAATACACCAGGGAGGCTGGCACTTCATTTCCCTCAACTCCTCGTTCTTAATGGAAAAAAAATAATGGATCTTCAAGTTCGCGGGTAGGCCTACCGGCAAGTCGACGCTTGAAACACTGTCGAAATATAAAACCTGACGTTCAAAGAAGTGATGGTATCAGAACATGGCTCTCTCATGGATCTATTTGACCCGGCCTACATCCGGGTACCTGGAAGTCAGCGTAGTAGGCAAAGATCGTATAGCACCGCGCACAGTAGGTAGTAGTTGCCTACTACCTACTTCAAAGCTGTGATGGATGAAAAAACCCCAAAACTGTGAGAAAAACGCGGAGCCAACACCCACTGCTGGGCCGTCACTATAATGACAGCCGTACACAGCGCATCTAGAGGTAGTGACCAAAGACCAATTTGGAAAAAAAAAATCGCGAATATTTTATATGAAAATAAGCCCGACTGAAGGCACGACGTGGTTGCTAACCAAACGCTTGCCTAGTGCAATGGTGGCCGATCACGGGAAACCGGACTTTGACGTCATATGATCGGAACGCTTTTAAAATCGACTTTATTGGACTGCTTTGAATTGCAAACAGGTCACTTTTCGCAGCCGGTTTGGTGATTCATTTGGAAGAGTTAAAAGAGGCTTCACCCATTGCGAAGAACTATAGACATACATTTTGTGGTAATTCTATAGAATTTCTTTTACTAAACTTACAGGCACATTGGAGAAAACAACGGAAACCTCTTTGTTTGCCGTTAAAACAGAACTGATCTCACGGATTTTTTTCGTGGTTACATCACCGTCATTTCTGCGACAACTGTATCTGGTCATGTCGAAATGATAGCGACGCCAAAAGTGTTACAATTTTAATTCGGCTGTACGAAGCAAATACTAATTGGCCACACACGTGTGCATGTCCCTGCATTCTCCTCGCCTATTTATCCTTGTTCTCTGACACCTTGACACGAAGTGCGTGTGATGAATCATGTACACGAGTCTGCAGCCAAAGCAGAACTGTCTTTCGTTCGGGAGAAAATTGGAAGACTGATCGTTTCCGTCACAGTTACAGCTTGGTCACTATGGGCTATACCATTGGTAACGGATGACGAGGATATTTGGAAAAGTTCAACTTCCATGTGGTTAGACCAGGCACGTCTTCATATGAACGAATGATGAGACAAACACATCGTATTTCAATCTCAACGATCGTCGAAATGAAATTGATATGATCCCACCACAAGGAACGAATGCCTTTATTTCCATCAATATCGCTTTACGTCAATCACTATCAATTTCAGACTGTCAAATATTACGCATTTACGTATAATTTACCAAACATCACAACACCATTCTGACGTATTTAGGAAACGCTGCCGTTCGTCGACTTCTGCAGCTTAACTAATTTACAATGCTGTCTTTATATACCAGCATTATTTCATATTATGTACTTCTAATTCAAAACTTGATTGCAATTACACGGAAAGCCGCGTTTCAGTTCTTATTTACCTTCAGTTAATGACATTGATGCCCTTGTATAAAAGCGTGTAATACCTTTTGTAACGATTTTGTACACTAGACACGATACCATATTCTGCCATACTAAAACTAAGTAAAAGAGGAGATCCTTGAACGATAAGCATTCATGAATAATTTCGTTGCAATAACGGGGGAGTCAGGTTGGCGCAGTGGTTACTGTCCTCGCCTTCCACCGCTGTGGTTCGGGTTCGGTTCATGCCCAGGTTTACAAAACTCTACATGTCGATTGAGTTTTTAGTCCCATTTTGATTCATTTGGTTTTTCCCAGAATATTCTTCTGGGGTTTCCCTCCCACCTCTAAAACTCATTCTTAAAGGTTTCTTCTGTCTTTCGAGTTACAGTGCCTATGGCACTTTTGAGGAGTCCTTGGTTTCATGACCAGAAAGATATACAAAATTTATAAATGAAAAAAAAATTGTTACAAATTTATTCATGAACGGGGCGAAATTTAGCCGTCACACTATTTGACACCACACAACATCACATTACGTTCGGATTGTTGCACTGCTTTCCACATTATAAACATTCACTTAATGGCAAGGACCTCTGCTGGATCCCTGATATCCCAATTTAGTATTAATATTGTCAACTTTCGAGTATTATGGTCAATTCAACACCTAACGTGAGTTGTATACTGTGGTGCCAGGAAGGGTAGCAATCAAGGCTAACACCTGACATTAGTAAGGGGGTTGATAGAATTAGAAACATTTAGCGAAAGCAAATTAAGCAATACAGATAATTAAAATCAAATCACTTACTGAGAATTATGGCAGATGCAGACGTATCTATTGATGCTGATGGCCGTTATACTCCAAAGTGAGCACGTACAACTCGTGGTGCACAGAAACCCGAAGAAATTGCAGAGTGCCGGGCGATTCCAGAAGATCTCCCCCAGCTTGAGTAGCGCATCCACGGTAGCGAACTGGATCAGGGCGGACACGCATAAATCAGCCACGGCTAGGTTGACGATGAAGGCATTGTGAAGTCGCCGTAGCGGCTTGTAGAATAGCACCGAGCCTATGACTAGGATGTTACCTAGCGTGCCGGTCAGGCCCAGTCCCATGGAGATACACAGGAACCAGGTGTTGGTGGCAGTGTCGTTGACGTATGGGTTCCAGATTTGAGAGGCGTGGAGACCCGGCTGTGTCCGTAACGGCGACAATGACAGTGGCAGTGACGGAGAGGCTCCACTAGTGGTGTTAACCCCCGCCATGTTGCACCTAAAGGGCGGGCTTTATTAAGATGTCACACAGGGCATGACTTGCTTGCGTTCCCCAGATATGCGTTTATGTAAATCCTTCTTATGAGAGCATGACTTGGTTCCAATTCAAATGGTGTGTAAGGATTTTCTTAAAGACGGTATCTTTTATACAGTTCCCACTATTAAACCTTAGGCCTAATTTATACAAATTGCCACTGACACATTGAGACATCCGTGTGCCACAAATGTCACGTTCATTTCCTCTCGTCGGTATACCGAGTGCTACTGTAATTGCCTGCTACTGACGCTTGCAGTCAGTTTTCATCAATATACACGGTCTTGGCTGAGTTGGTTGTTTTCAACGGGGGCAGACAGCTGTGTGTACGCTTTGCACGACAGGCGACCAACTGATCAAATAGGCCGGGCTGGCAGTACCAGCGCAGAGCAGTATACCAGTTGCAAACTTCGTCGCTCTCTAATCGTGATGTCACCTGTTGCTAGGGCAACGACACCGAGCTGCAGTAAGTATTTCGAGATGGTGGATGAAAAAACAGTATACCGTTATTAAATATAAATGCGTGTAATACATCCATTAGGTAAGTACAAGGCTATTTGTGCAAATTTTCTCATCAAGTCACAGATGAGTTGGCTGATTGCAAACGTTGAAGGCGTTTCGGAGAAGGCCATCGTTTGCATAAATTAACCGCTGGTCACGTGATGTTATTCATAATGCATACTCTACGCACGCACTGGCATCGCCTAAGCACGTCATAGATTACACAAGTATCGAAACAAAGTAATCATTTACATCAGTACCGTACCACAATGGATAGGCCCACCCCAGATTTCAGATTTACGCGGCGCCAACTTGGAAGACGTTAACAAATTGCTTCCCCCTATACCGCCAACCTGCCGGTCAGTAAGGCTGAGACTGTAGCCTGACATCAAGTGAGAATTACATTACTGCTTCTCCGATAAAGGTCACGGTAACATTTGTCTCATTCTGTTTCTATTTTCCGGATGAAAAAAAAGAGAGAAACGTCTTTTTCAAATGTGTTTTTGAGTAGGCCTATAGTGTTTTTAAGGCCCAAATTTATCAATTATATTGTTTTAAAATATGTACTGTCCGTGCTTTTTCGAGTTTCATGTCAAAAAAAAAAATTCATTTCAACTTTTTTGGAGCTCTTTTCTTTGGAATGAGACATCCAATCCCACCCCCCCCCCAAAAAAAAATACACCACCCAAAACGGCCCATTTTAGACAAAAATTTAGTTTTGGCAAAGTAACGTTAATTGTTTCCGCCCAACCAGTATCGATAAAGCTAACTGAAGGAACAGGAACCATTCTACTCACACCGTCACACGGCAAAAGTTTCTTTTTCAGAGGTTGGATTGTACCAAATACAATTGTTTTCCCGTTAAGACCAAACATCATGTTGAAACTTCGTCAGAAGACCAAACAATAGTCAAATTTGTTGAAGAGCACATACCGACATTTAGCCGGATATTATGAACTACATTGAACTCTCCCTACTATAGTGCTAATATATGACGAACCAGTGGCGAACGCAGGATTTTTTCAAGGGGGGTGTTTCAAAATTGGATGTCATCATTTATAACGCTAGAAATGAAGATGGTAAATTGTGTTGGCGCCAGAAATAAAAAAATAGTATCAGTGGGCTAAAATTAACGCCAAAATAAAAGTCGGGAGTGTGTGTTGGCGCCAAACATAGTAAATCGAGAAAAAAAACATGTTCTGTGTCTTTAGAGTAGGCCTATATGATGAACATATGAGTAAAGGGGTCAATGTGGGCAGTCCCCTCCCTCAACAGCATTTAAACAAAAAAAGAAGAAGAAATTCAAGTAAAAAGTGACACGGGCTGCGGAAGTGCTAGGATCTGTTCTTGTAATTGGCTAAAATTACTCAGCTTCGTCCCCTGGATCTCATGATTCTCATCCGTTGGGAATCTAATTCTTTGTGTAAACTGCCCCCACCCCTAAGGCCAAACTCCAGATACAGGATACAAATGCGCTCTGGTCACAGGGGCGGATTCAGACTGCCATTTGCCGGGGGGGGGGGCCTAGAATTGTAATGAAGGGTCCAGCACCTGCGAGCGCGCAGCGCGAAGCCCCTACGGCGTGGGGTCCGGGGCCCGCTTAAGGGCCCCGGAAAAATTTGGATTTTAGATGCTCTGTGGTGCAATCTGAGGCGATTCCTGGCCACTTCCACCGTTTAGCAAACGTTTTAAACACCGAAAATTCCATTTAAATTTGTTATTTTTTTTGTTCTTCATAAAGTTTGTTAAAAAACGTACTCAAAGTTGAGAACCATGTTCCATCTCCGTATTTTTTCACAATTTTCTATTTTGGAAAGGGATTTAGGCCACTTGTAGTTCGAGCCTCAGCCATTCGCTGATGAAGGTACAAATAAGGTGGGGGCACCGCTAGGGTGAAAATAGCATAAAGGGAATTTGGCCGGAGGACTAATGCGAGCGTGGAGCGCGAAGCACTTACGGCGTGGGGTCCGGGGCCCGCTTAAGGGCCCCGGGAAAATTTGGATCGTAGATGCTCTGTGGTGCAATCTGAGGCGTTTCCTGGCCACTTTTCCCCTGATTTTTTTAGCAGAAGTTTTTAAAATTGAGGGGATATTTTGTTTCATTTTTTTTCAAATACATATAGGCCTATATATTCTTGCTCTTATGAAGTTTCTTCTGTATTCAAAGCTTAAAGTTGAGAACATGCACATAATTTGTAATTGTTCCGCGCTCGGTCACATAACTCTCTTTTCCCTCCATATTTTTACATGGCAAAGGGGGGTGTTTAACAGCCAAAACACCCCCCCCCCCTGCGTACGCGCCTGTGACGAACGATTCTTGGGATCAGAGTGATTATCTATTATTCAGAATGGATCTAAATAATGTAAACAATTAATAAAGCATAACCATGTTGGTATTGTTTGTCTTTTTCCGACTAATTTGCGAGACTGACGTGTGATTTGGAATATTTTAAGTTGCCATTTCCGAAGGTGTAAACTGAAATGACGTATAGGCCTATACACATACAATATGAAGTAGACGTGTAGGCCTACAGATGAAGGCATATAGGCAAAACTGAATTTCTCTGAAGGGCTAACGGAGGTTTTAGCGTACTGATCTTGCCAAGAAATTAAGCATTGTGGACGAACACATCGTAATATGAAAGATTTAAACTTAGGTTATACGTTACTGCCCTGTTAATTTTCTTACATTTTCTTTTATCGATATGCCTCTTATCGATTGGAGGAAGGGCCTCAGTTTCGTGTTTCCTGTAGGAGAGGTTTTTTTCAGAGAAAGCCTTTTACCCTATGTTCCGATCCTCCAACAAACGTTGTCTCATTATATGAAAAATGACAACTTTAAACGTGAAAATGTCACGTGACGTTTACTCCAATAATGATTGTCTCTGTATACACTGTCAATTTAATGAGTTCTCTTCGGTCGTCTTGGACGCGCGTTCATGAACTGCTTACACCAAGAGAGACACGTCTGTTCCTTTCAGCAAAATTGAACGTTATACGCTGTCATTGGTTGCTTCGTGAATGGTTTGTTGATTTTTATTTGACAATCTCCGCGGATCTTTTTGCAATACAATAGACATCAAATTAAAAAAACGAATAAAAAAAAAAAATGAACACATGAAACAATCCATATCCCAGGCATTGTCGAGAATAACACACAAAAAAGCTACCGACAGCTAATTGCCATTGTGGTCTTCTATAATCGTAAAAAAATACAGTGGTTAAAAATAAACTCATAAGATCATAAATTTATCATGTATAACATTTGTCATGTTATCCATGACAAATGCTTTCTGTACTGCTTGAGTGCACATAATTGGTAGCCTATTTTCTAGTATATACGGAATTAATACAGACGCCACCTGAAGTAAATGTAATACAATTGCAGGCACCCGCATCGATAAAACGATGCTTTCTTCAACATAAAGGTGTCTGTTTGTTTAGTTTGTTCTGCCACTTTGTCATGTTCTTTTTTTTTTTACCAGTGAATCAGTGACCTGTTATAAATTGGTTTTTGGCGAAATTACTGTTGTCTACAGTTTCATTTCACTTTAGGCCTATATGCACGACTTTAGTATCGAACGAATGTAAACCATGATGAGATTATAATGCACGGGTCGTGTTTAAATACACGCATGATCTCAACTGTAGTTGGCACGATGATAAAGTTAGGGCGTAAAAATAGCTATACCAATAAGAAATTGCTTGTAAATGAATATGATGTTTCCATCGGCTACGTAACACCGGCGATCCGCACCTATCCGCACCGATCCTGCACTGCAGCCATCTTTGAGATGTGTGCTTTTGTGCAACAGCCTGGGACACGCATATTATGAGTTATGATTGCATTGATTCTTAACGAATTAACATGACTCTATAATATGATTGTTGAATACAATAATGATTTATAACAAAAACTCCGACTTGGTGAGAAGTGCTTCAATGCTAACCGAAACTAACATGCACCTCATTTTTTATTGTAAATTCGAAGTTGTTTTATAGGCTTTGTAGTTTGTCGGAAACGGTGCCGTTTTTACTTGAAATATGCGAAATGCTCCTTTTCAAAAGCAAAAATGTCCTTCTTGATTTGTAACATGATGTTTTTGTAGAGGCATCAGTTTCCAAAGTAGATCACATAGGAAAGGATTTGAACAGTACGTCTTCTCGAAGTGTTCAGAAAAGAAGGGCCTAAAATTAGAGCGCTATAGTATCATCATCATGCATGGCGGCTGTGATTCGGCCGCAAGTCTCCTCATATTGCATACGTTCTGACCTGTATTCCCCCTGCTATTAGACCTACTTCCCGTCTCCCTTCCTTTGCGTGTTTAACAAGAACGCACAAGTTCTCAACATGGACAATCCCAGCCGTTAAAGGCAGACGGAGACAATTGAACGGATAATGTTATACGATTACCTTAGACGTTTCGAAACTCGACAGCAACAATTCTGAGCATCAGGCTAATTGAAAATGAAACTCAATATGTACGGAGATTTATAGCCAATCAGAATGGATGAACTAATGCTATATACAGCGTCTAATATGCACAAAGTGAGCTACTTTAACAGCTTCATTATCAGGATATAGTAGGCCTACATGTACTGTATACTAAACATGTCAAAAATCCCCCCTCTATAGAAGAGATTTAGAAACAACTGAAAATTCAAATTCTCTATAAAAAACGTGCCTCAGATCTTGACGCTTTTGCTTCTTTTAATTTTTTTTTATTTATCTATGCAATAACAGCGGCATGCATAAAATCACGCGTATGAGTGAGCCCCTTTTATGTTAAATGCTAGTTCTCTTGTGGAAAATACATTTTTATTGACTCAACTTTTAAAGCTTACTTTTTTTGCAAAAGTGATATGGAGATTACAGGTAGGCTACAAGGATTTTTTTGAAAAGAAGCCCACATCATAGTGCATGTAATTTTTCATTGTAAGCGTCCTACCAAGCACATGTACTGGGAGATACTCAGGGGAAATTTGAACAGTCGTTGAAATAACTTCAAAATGTGCCACACATACGCTAATGAAAACTCTCTTTTCTGTTTTCGAACGAAATGATTAAGCTATACCCACAGTTCAATATCAAGGCACTATTGCGGAAAAGACAAGCCTTCTGCTCTGATCTTGGGCGGTGTTACTTATGGACTAATTCATACCAGCTTAGATTTTTTTAATGCATGCATTGGAGCAGAAGATTTCACAGTATACACCTACGGTTTTTATGCACGCTGCACTCAGAAATAAAATGCATTACGACACCATCCCACAAAACAGGTCATGGAGTTATATACTTAAGACACGCGCGTCATTACACAAGCCCCACCGCACTGTCTCAGCTATTGTTGTCTCGTGCCTAAATTGCCTTGACATGACTGGAAGTGGTTCAACACCCAACTGCACATACATTGTACTCTCATTTTCCAGGGAATGACATTACAAAATTCGGTCGACAAATCTGCGGTAGTATAAACATCCTTCTTCCTTTTTTTTTTAAAATGTGCCATCAGCTCACATAATTATGCAAAGTTCTGTGCAAGGACATTCGTAAGTATAAAACACTCAGTTTAATTCTCACATAATGTCACTGTCAGATGTTGATTTCGGACTCATGAAGGATACGATAAGAAATTGGGAATATGATATCAAATGGTTTAAGATGTGTTAACCGCAGTTGAGTGGAAAAGACATTTCTTTGCATAAGTACAAACAGAATTAATCATTTACCGCCCGCCGGTCTATGCAGCTTTCAAAGGCTATAACAGTCTTTGAAAACTTGGACAATATTATGCAGTGCAGATATTAAGCAAACGAGCCTTTTGTCGGAAAGATACTAAATTCATAAAAAGTGCAGGCGGTCGAGCCTAAATATAGGTTTTCTCGGCTATTTTACAATACTTCAAATTCAACAACTGTTACATTAAATTTTGTCCAAGACAAGTTTCACACGCTTTTACCAAAAATAAGTTAGTCATTTACCATTAATTTCAAAGTTTGGTCACCCTCTTTAGTCACCGGGTCGATCAAATTCGTCTAAGCTGCATGGCAGCATTCAGAGATTGAATTCGTCTTATATAAGTCAATTAGACGAATTTGGTTTCTGAACAACAAGGTCTGGCGTAGACAAGACGAAATCGAAAACTCTGGGACGAAAACGTGTTCTCATTGTTTGAATTTGCTTGAACTGAATTTAGAATTGTCTGACAAAAGACGAAATTAAACATTGGAAGAGCACTAAATCTATGTTGATGGACGAATTTAAATATAAGGAACGGTGAATTTGAATGATAAACGTGTTAAAATAGTGCAGCTTCAAGTTGTGACATTTCTCCCAATGAATCAACTCGCCCATCTATGCACGATGCTATCCTGCCCAGTTTAGTTTTCATTTCAATTCTCCTGATTTGCAAACAAAACCTGGACGAATGACTTCGTGCATATCAACGCCGTGTCTACAATTTGAATCTTTTTTTTGCAGGCGCAAATTAACATTACAATCGGCATTAATTAGTGAGAGGATACAGCATCATAATTTGACTAAGAAGCAATTCACATGCAGCTTTATGGTTGTCATTCATTCTACCAGCCCTCTGCACTACCCCGGTGATTTCTGACAAAGCATTTATGGACGAAGTTCAACTTTCACACCAAGCATGCGGTGTACAAATAGCCGTGACTTCGGATCCATTTACATGTGAATGAATTGGAACCAATGCCAAACTTGCCAAGCCTTAATTAGATAACCAAACAGATCACAAATGATTAAACAGCTTACCTTTCATAAACGTTGGCAATGTCTCAAGATCAGCGTCGATCCTCTCAACCAACTGCGTTGTCAAATTATTTCTCGATATCCCAATCATCATGCGATCGACCTCGACCTAAGCACACCAGGATTTCCAATACAATGGAGGCTTCGCGTTACTTTGTCGGTCCAATTTTTACTTCCTTCTCGGAAATGTAAAACGACACCCCTTTCATGGGAATCATGACTGCCTGAAAAAAACGACCCTAGGCACTTTCACAACATGACCGTTTAGACTGGTTCTCTATAAAGGCCGGGGCCGGTCTTGTACTCAACTTTCACACCTTTTCGTTTGAACTTGGCTGCTTTGAAATAAGTGGCTCTTTTCCATGAAAGAAGACCAAACGGCCAAAAATGTATACACGTCTTCCAACGCAAGTTGGCAGGCCGGCTTAATTACCAAGAGAGACGACGGGAATTTAGTTTAACAAACATTTTGTTTGTCAAGTCCAAAAAACCTTTTATAGCTGACAATGAACTTGTTTTGCAAGCGGAGGTATGTGGAGTATGCAGTAGAGATCCCGCTGGCTGTATGTCGAGGTCACTTGGGGTCAGTGTTTATTATTAGTAGCAAATTAATAGCTAAATAGGCAGGTTGTTATTTCATTATAAAATGAAAGTGAAGATAGATACACACAATGTATACTAAGATAAAAAATATGAGTCTCATATAAACCAAGGACACTATCTCCGTAATTTAACAAACGCAGGTTCATTTTTAATATTAACGTTATTTCGTTAATTGATATCACAGAGTACGGTGATTGGTTAATCCTTTCTCCAACAACACAATACAGGGTGAGTTTAAAAAAAAAAAAGCAGAGCACAAACCCCCCAAAATATATTTCATATTTAAAAAAAATCATTGTAGGCCCATAGCACCAAAAATAATAATGAATCGAAAGCCAATTTCATAAACTACTTTCAGATGAAAAAAATTCCTAAAATTGCTCAACCCGTTCAAAGAATATCACCATTTAAACGCAATGACCCTAAAACCTGTTTCTTCCAAAAAAAAAGGCAATTTACTTTGACTGTTTGGAACAACACAGAAAATTACACAGAATACTTATTTCAACAGCTGTCAACAACCGTAGTACACCGTGTGTATATAGGCAAACAATAAAATCTATAAAATCAACTTCTTTTTTAAAACACGGGCCTTCAAAACGACTTTGCTTAATATTTTTGAATTTTTAAACGGTTTTACCGCGGGTGATGTTTGAAGACAAATGGTGACGACGATTCTTGAAAAAGCATTTTTGTTCAAGAGAGGTTTTAGGGTCATTGCGTTTAAATGGTGATATACTTTGAACGAAAGTAGCTTATGAAATTGGCTTTCCAATCATTATTACTTTTGGTGCTACATATTTTTATAAATATGAAATATATATTTTTTGGGGGTTTGGGTTCCGCTTTTTTTGACTCGCCCTGGAGAAGGAGACGGAGCTGAGTTAAGAGAACAATTAAAAGACACAGAGGCCAATCTCTTTAATTGTAACTTTTCTTAGTATTTGTGGAAACGATGATAATTAAAAAGACTAATAGCATGTACACTTTAAATTGATGCAACATAAGCAGATAGACATACTCATTAAATCATATTCTGCAGGCGCCTTTTTTGTAAAAATCATTACAATCATAATGGCAAATGATGGTGTACTCGGAACCATTTCACTGTTAGGTCGATATTTATTTTATTTCATAAACATGTTTATTTAGATTAACTTCACATTATTCTTATTCAGATTACCAAATGTATTTGTGGTTATTAAATGTGACATCATAATCAAATTATCCGCACTGTGAAATTTGAAGGTTGTCTTTACTCTTCAATAACTCTCAGCATACTTGTGTCATAATTGTTTCTTTTCTTTTACAGCAGACACCAAGTCCAAATAAATATGAATCAAAAATGGGATGAGAATATCATTTCATTAAAAAAACAAACAAAAAAACACACCAAAAACCCCAGAAATGTTTCCCATGATCTGGTGTAATATTATGTAACCTGTTGCCTCGAAATGAGTTTAAAGTCAATAAATTGCCATTTTGCAAAGCCAAAATTAAAAGGGTGGTAGATTTATTTGTTTTCAGAGAACCTAAATCTGTATATCCTTTTCTGAAACCTTTCTCAACCTTTGTTCAATCAAATATCTGTAAAACCTTTTTTTCATCCCATTTCACTGTTTATTCACTGTAACACAGCTGGATTTTTAAATGTCATTTTCTCACAAATTAGATTTACGGATTCAATTCACTTGGTGGTCTATAATTCTGTTACTGAATTCAGTGTACCTAAAGCTATTGTTCTGCATCAAGGAATATAAATATCTGAATTCTTATTAAGTCTGACTTTGAGCTCATTTTCGTGATGTCAGGTCACATATAATTAAACACAATGGTCACATTGCTAAGCTTCGACATTCGACAAAGCTTGATAATTCATAAAACTTAAAGGTCCCATGTAATGTAAGTTTTTCAACGCAATCCTTGAAAATGCACCTTTGTGTCCCATTTAACCTTATTTTGAAATTTCGTTTTGCCAATTTTCTAGGGTATTTTGGTGCATTTTTGGTCTTCATGCTGATACACATTTCTATATTCATGAGCAAATCTGTGACGTCATTCCAGTCAGAAACCTCAATGTTACACCTGTTTCAGCACAAAAAGTTGCTAGAATTTTTTAATATTTTGCCGTCATAATTTTTCTTTTCTTTGGAGATTTGTTGTTGTGTAAGTACATGTACACTGCAGTAAGCCAATAAGCAACCCTTTCGCACCAGTGTTTTCAATGAGCACATTTTGGGTTCACAATTTGAACAGAAAACCCTTAAACTGAACAGTGTCATCCTGGAATGACATCACAGCAACAGCGCCCTCAGTTGTCCGGAAAAGCATGGACAATTTTAAATGTTTAAAAAAAGTACACTTTTCAACAAAATTAACCAAAAAGGGATGTTAAATAGTCTTCATACATTTAACAGTAGTAGAAAGTTGCGCAAAATGTTTTCCTAAGACAAATCCATCGCATGGATCTTTTAATTCTGGTTTGGGGTAACTTCAAGTTGTTTGGTTTTGGTTTTCCTGGAAAACTGTCCAAGGGTGTCAGGGTTAAATTGTTACAAGAAATATACTATAACAGCTTAAAATAAAATTTTAGCACATTTCTCAAGTCTTTGATGAGCTGTTGTTTTGTAGTAACGTCTTGACAATGTCTTGTATAGCTCCAGCTGATGGTGACGAAGGAAAGGAATCAACAAAACTCTTGCCTTCCTCCAAGCACTTGGCGAGCTGGGGGTCTAGTGGTATGCAACCTGGTATCAAATTACAAACAAACCATGCTCATCAGATTATTAGATGACTATAATTTTATAATTGAATAAAAAAATAGGAGTGGGGTCGCAGAGGTCACAGGTTCAAACCCCGCTCCAGTCAGTTTCATTGTCAATTTTATGATTGTTATATAGTCAGTTTGCTTTTCTGGCTTATTTTGACGATTTGTACTTTCAAAAAGCTGTATCCTCTCTGAGTGATCCCTGTTTGATATTTCTCAGGCTTGCAGCATTGCTTAGTGGAGTGCTGTGGCCTCGTGGTTAAGGGCATTGGATTCGTAGTCTGCGGGTATTAAAAGCTGCAGGTTGTGGGTTCAAGTCCAGTCTGGGGTTATTGTGCGTGTGCCCTTGGGCAAGGCACTTTGTCACTCATTGCTTCTCTCCACCCAGGAGTAAATGGGTACCTGCGACGGTACAGGCCGTATGCGCTGATATTGAGCTGCTGCAGAAGTGGTTTTGTGGCCTGATGAACAGGGGTAATAATTGTGAAGCGCTTTGACACCTTTGGTATAAGGTGCTAAATAAGCACCACATTATCATTGCTAATGTTGCTGGCATCGTGACTTTGGGCGTGATCCCTGGCTACATGGCATATACAGGTTTATGGCTTCTGACTAGCGCCCCTTGAACAGAAACATTGGGGAACCACCAACATAGGGCTGGATAGCTCAGTTGGTAAAGCACCGGAACGGTAATTTGGAGGTCACAGGTTCAAACCCCGCTCCAGTCAATTTCTTTGTTCAATTTTATAATTTATATACATTCACCCAGTCAGTTTCCTTTTCTGGTTTCTTTGGAAATTCTTTGATGGCCAACAAAGTGGGAAAGCTCCCAAATAGCACAAAGAGTAAATAGATTTGTGGCTAGCAAGTTAAAAAAAAACCTGGGAAAAAAACCCCAAGAAACAAAACAAAGTGATGTAGGTCTTATGGTCTTGATTTCTAAATTAACCTTTCACTATTCCCAAACACAAAATGGGAGATGGGGATAGAAGTTGAATTTTGCTTACTAAACCAGCAAATGTGACAATTAAAAAATATTGTTTCAAGGAGTTGAAAAACTTGAGTGACCGAAGACTTACCCAGGAATGGTATTGAAAATTCCTTGGCTAAAGACTCTCCGCCTCCCTTTGAAAAGACATTACTGCATTCCTAAAAAGCAGATGAAAAACAACTGTATCAGCTGTCTGCAATGCTTTTCACATCCAGAATAATGTACCAATAGTTATATTCTAATACATGTAATGTAGGCGAAAGAGCATAGGATTCATGATTGTGAGGTTGTGGGTTCGAGCCCCGCCGTGGCCATGTGTGTTGTGCCCTTGAGTAAGGCGCATTACCTCAATTACTCAACCCAGGTGTTAAATGGGTACCGGCATTATTCAATGCTGGGAAGGTAACAGACTCGCTGTGGAGGAGGTGTGGCGATCCCCCTACAGCAGCATATGAGCCTGGCCCAATCGCTTCGAAAGAGAGATGAGCACTCCGTTCCTGTGAACACAGGTTCGTCCCCTTACCTTACATGTAATTTATAAAAATGGCCGTTTAAAAGTTTTGTAACCCTTTTCTTTTAGTTCTCTTAGACTATGACATTTTGGCAAAGGCAGGTCAGGTGAAGTCCATAGACTGTTTGCACTGCAGACATGCTTGAGGTGTGTGCTTTTGTTCAACAGAGAAACGCATGAGTAGACTCCTTGTGCATTCATTGTTAATGAATGAACATAACACACACCTCCAAGATGGCTGCCTAATGCAATCATTCTATCAAATGCGTCTTCAAAAAATGTTTTTCTTTCCCGAAGCCAGACTGGGAAACTCAATACACATTATGGAGAAACCAATACTTTCACACTAAAATCCTCTAAACACAACTTTTGACATCTACAGGTAAAAAAAATGTGGGAAAAAAAAAACATAAGAGGAAGTTCTGCTATAAGCAAATGATATGAAAAGTTCTCCCAGAAATGGATTCCCACTTTCACCACTGGAGGGCGCTCGTTACACAAGCAGAAAGCATCTTGGAAATGATTAACATTAGATTCACTGGAGATCTGACCTCATTAAAGTTGAGGACAGACAGCACCCTCATGGCTTCTTAAATCAAACTGCAGGTTGCTTAATGTATTATGGTTATTCTGCTTTCTTTGAAGTCTTATACTGGCCTATGTTAAAAGTGTGTGCACACATGGCTATCTGTGAGTGTGCTGTAATCAATGAGTTGAACCCACATCAGAGGTCATAGGAACAACAGTGTGCTGACTGTTGTCAGACTCTATATCTGAATGAGAGAAAGATTTCATTATAGTCGTGTTCCCTAACGTGGCGCACTTCGAAGCTTACCCAACTTTCCTCGTGTAGTGTTGCCAAACCTCTTTGTTGACAAACCTCAAATTCATGCAGTGAAATACTGGTACTTTTACCTTATTAATGCTTGCTATTTAACCTCCGTGAACAATTTCGGTTCATAAAATTTAAGCCGAAATTAAAAAACAGTGGCGTCCGGAAATTGGGCACAAATTGGCGGAGTGTTCCCTAACGTGGCGCACTTAAATAAATCTCGGAAAATTCCAAATTAACATTTAAGAATTTCTGTAAACTTGATAAATTCTGATAAAATCATTATTATTTCTACTTACATACCCAGCCAGATGTTTCACTTTGCACTTGAAAATAAAATCGGAAAAACACGCCAAAATAATTTTTTCTTTTAACTTTGTAGTGGGTAAATAAACTAGCAATTTATGAACGGGAGTGTTTAGAACTTGATGAAATTTCACTTTCTGTGAAATTTCAGTTAAAACTTTTGCTCTAGCTAGGCGCTACAGGCGAAAAATCAAAGTGTGCCACGTTAGGGGCCGCGCCACGTTAGGGTACATCAACAATAAAAGGTCTTTTAAAACTATCGTCTCCCTTCCCCGTGTTGAAATCAACATGGTGCAACTGTGAGCGGAACCGTGTCCCAACAAACATACATGGATAGGCAAGGCGTCATGTTCATCTTACAACAACGGTGTGTACACGGGTAGGCCATGGATTTGAGATTTTCTACCTTGGGAGAACCTCTCAGCCCTTGGATTTTATCCGTGTAGCGTGCCGGACCCATGTAAAAACCATGTTGGATTCTTGCTAGCGTATTAAAGGGGTTCCTGAAATCTCCATGTTGGACCCATGTCCAACACAGAGAGTGCAGACGGGGTGAAAGGCTCTTAAGACTTACTGTGCAATGAGGGCAGACATAGCCACTCATGTTTTCTATGATGCCCAAGACCGGAACACCAGTCTTCCGACAAAATGTGAGTTCCCTACGGACATCGCCTACTGCAACTGCCTGCAAAGAAACAAAGAGGAAACAGAAAGTATGAAGATAAAAATATTTGTAAATAAACACTTGCTTCAGATATCATACGCAGATCAAAATTGATGTTGTGTGCATGGGAACGCGGCACAATGGACCACTAGTTTTGCCTGAAATCATGTTGTTTTCAGGCAATTTCAGACTACTCAGAGCACTTTTAGAGCTATTGAATTACTCTTGATTTGCCTTTGGTTTGACAAAATTAATGACAGCAATATATCTTGCTTAAGGACACAAGTGAAATGATTATGGTTGGACTGGAACCTCAATGGATCACTTCACTCTTACATGTAATAATGGTGTGTTTATCTGTATGAGATGACTACAGCACCCTGGTGACGAGTCAACATGTTAGGGAGTCCACTGATCCAAGTAAGAACTACCATGTCTCCTTAGAGACTTCTATAATGGATGACCATAAACCAACACCGATATTTTATCCTGCAAAGCTTAAATACACTCAACCAAAAAAGAAAGTCCCCCCCTTCCAATACTTTTTGTCTGACTCAAAAACTACTGGGCACATCTTGCTCAAATTATGACTGATCAGTAAAGAAATTCCTTAGCAATCCAGCCATACTCTTTATTTGGCCCAAAACGGTAATAATGTGTACAAATTTATGCAATTTATGACAAATGATACCGAAAACAGTTGCACTTTTGTATACGTGCATGTTGCAGTTCACACTCGCCTTGCAAGTGTACAAAAGTGCAACTTTTTTTCGGTACCACTTGTCATAAATTGCATCATTTTGTACACATTATCACTGTTTTTGGCCACACAAAGAGTATTGCTGGATTGCTAAGGAATTTCTGTAGAGATCAGTCGTAATTTGAGCAAGATGTACCCAGTAGTTTTTGAGTTAGACAAAAAAATATTAAGGGGGGGGGGACTTTCTTTATTGTTTGAGTGTATCTACCTGTGGCGTTGTGACTAATACAGCTCCATCCGGCTTGTACTGATGTAAACTCTCCACAACTGTGATGTGCTCATCTGAAGTGCCTGTGAAAAAACAAAGGGGACCTAATTTAACATTCAGAAACAGTTATTTTGAATGATTTTGGATTAATTTCCGTCTCTATTATTTGATAGCATTTTGAAAATGGGAGTACTGATTGCAATATTTTAGCTGACCTGGTGGGGTGTCGATGATGAGGTAATCGAGATCACTCCAGAAGACATCACTTAGGAACTGCTTGATCATTGCTGAAAATACACAATTCAACACAATTACACATTTATATTATTACACTGATTCCATGATAAGCAGTGCAGGCAGGGCTGTTCACATATACTCTAAGAATGAATGTGCTTGAGCATTATTCATTATAGTAGAACACTGCTTTAACAAACATTGCCGCACCAAACACTGGGTTAAAACATCTCCTATGACTCCTGAATTTTATAGCACTCCTGAGTGCTATACTGGTACTAAAATTGAAATTGCATTTATAACCAAAAGAAAACCATTTTCTTCACATTTTCTTGGTTGATCACAATGTAGTGGAGTTTTCCTAAATTGCAACAGGACCAAAACACAACTACATGTACAGGGTGAGTCAAAAAAAGCGGAACCCAAACCCCACAAATTGTATTTCATATTTAAAAAAATATGTAGCACCGAACATAAAAATGACTGGAAAGCCAATTTCATAAGCTACTTTTAGATGAAAAAAATACTGAAATTGCTCAATCCGTTCAGAGAATTTCACCATTTAAACACAATGACCCTAAAACCTCTGTTGTCCAAAAATGCGATTTCAAGAATCGTTGTCACAATTGTCTTCAATTATCACCAGCGATAAAACCTCAGTTTAAAAGTTGAAAATATTCAACAAAGTCCTTTTGAAGGCCCGTCTTTACAAAAAAGGTGGATTTTATAAATCATATTGTTTGCCTAACCAGGATTGTTAATAAAGATATTGTGTACTACTGTTGTTGACAGTTGTTGAAACAAGTATCCTGTGTCATTTTCTTTGTTCTTCCAACCAGTAAAAACACACAATAAACTGTTGGTTTTTTTTGGGACTAAACAGGTTTTAGGGTCATTGGGTTTAAATGGTGATATTCTTTGAACAGATTGAGCAATTTCAGTAATATTTTTCATCTAAAGGTAGCTTATGAAATAGGCTTTCCAGTCATTATTATGTTTGGTGCTACAATATTCTTTAAATATGAAATATATTATTGGGGATTTGGGTTCCGCTTTTTTGGACTCACCTTGTCAAAAAAGTGCTTCACTCTGATCAACTTACCACACTGTTACTAGTTTATTAACAGGAAAATAAATAACATCCAAAATGCACATATCATCACTGACAAAAAATTTGAATATTTTTTTGTTCTCAATGACATTCAGCTTTAACCCCTTTATGATGTCACAAGTAAGTTCATGAATACGCGAATTCAAATGACTGCTACATGTACGTGTTCTCATTTGTTCACTTACCATTCTTCTTGGGACCTCTCCAGACCACAGCATCATCGCTGCTTCCTAACAAGAACCCAATGGACATGACTGCAAGACGTTGTTCATTGTCTGCATATACTGGAACCCACCTGTGCAATGTACACAACCATTTAACGCTAAGATCTTTACAATGCCTAATTTGATGAAAGTCATTTTTATATTGGTGGTGTTTATGCTTTTTAACAACAAGCATTTATATAGCACTTTTTTTAAATGGGGCATCAAAGCGCTTTACAATTATTATTAACCCTGTTCAACGACAAACACTCCTGAAACCTTCTCAACTCCCTGGGGAGCATACACGGCCGGTAGGCAGCCATTTCGGTGATCTTGGCCGTAATCAACCTCTCACAGTCACAAACACTGCCCTCACAGGTACCCATCTACTCCTGGGTGGGGAGAAGCAATGAGTGACAAAGGGCCTTGCTCAAGGGCACACGCACCATTACCCCGGGCAGGACTTGAACCCACAATCTGCAGAATAACCTGCAGACCGCAAATTCAATGCTCCAGACCACAAGGCCACGGCACTCCACGCATGCTTGTCCTGTTTAGGCTTGCTTTGTCTTTTGTTTTACTTCTGGTGAACCTAGTTGGATTCTAACATGGAACCCCCTCTATGCTGATCTCCTAGATACTCTTGGATTTAAAAAACTACCTCCTTTTCCTCAAGGAAGTCCTTCGTTTTTTTTTTAAGCCGAAGGTAACTGATCAAAAGATATCAGGAAATCTGTTTTATTTTGTGGCAAATTTTGGCTAAAAACAAGTCTCCTTCCCTTTATTTTTATATCTCTATACATTTTCAAGATCACATAATCTTTGTGTAGTTGTATATTTTCCCTTCTACCCACTTCCCCACTTTTTATTTGCAAACTGTAACAAGCTTGATACATCCACCAGAAAAAAAGATCACGCATTTTGTAGTTGATCTTACATACATGTAACATTGTATTATCAACAACATTGTTCAATATGCACATTTTTTTTATGAATGGAAAACTGGTACCCACCCCTGAGCACACTGGTGCACATCATTTCCCTGCACATTGAGCATGCGGGGAATACTTGGACCACACAGATCAATATCAAGTACTCCAACCTGTAAACAATACAACAAGTTAACATAACAAACAAAATGTTACAAAAGAAGAATTCTTTTCTAAGGGTTATTATTTTTTAATCAAAGGGAACTTTCAACAAAGTTTAATTAAAATTTCAAAGGTGTAGTTCATACACTGGGCCACAAATTACTGTTCTTTCCATGTCAAAACAACTCCTTCCTGGGCCAATCTCACAGATTTTTTTTAATTTGCTAGAACTGTCGGGTTATTTGAGAAAAACTCCAAAACCTCAATTTAAATGTTTTGGTCATGTTGTTTGTGATTTACTGATCATGAAACTTTTGCTCTTACAATTATCACTATAACTTTAGACATCTGTATCTCCGGTTAGGAATGTCAGACAAAAACAATAGCTATCTTGGATTAAAGCTAATTAAATTAGAATAAGAAATGATCTAGTTTGCAATCGAAAATGTGACATTTAATTTTCAATGTGAGGTCGGGCAAAATTAACTTTCACCACTTATTTTGCGTAGGCTGCAAAATTAAGTTTTTTTTAACAACTCTCCGATATATTGATTTTTAATGACCCTAACTCCCTAGGCCTTTTTGCTAGGATGTAGCCTCAATCCTGCAAAATCCTCCAATTGGTCTCATGGAAAAATAGCATATAGCCTCAATCCTGCAAATTCCTCCATTATTTCTTGAATATGGTCTGTGGATGGGTAACCACTGCCTGAATCCTGCAAAATCCTGAGGCAGTAACTGTCAATATCCAGTGACATCCTGGAGCAGTACGGAGGATTTCAAGCATAATCCAGGCCTATATGGCTGAGCAAAAACAACACAAGGTCCGGCCCAAGACCTTGGCAAAGTGCATCCCAAGAAATCAGTAACACTTTTGCCATGTAACCTCAATCCTCCAAATTCCCCCATTTTGGCAAAGAGGATTTTGAAGGATTTAGGGCGGTAAGTACATTCCAACTAATCTGTCATCATAACTCCAGCCTGATCCCACATCCACTCAGAGGCTTACCTTCAGACCATTTTGTCTGAGTGTCAGTGCTAGCTGGGTTGTCACCGTGCTCTTTCCAACTCCTCCTTTCCCTGACAAGACTAGAATTGTGTGCTTCACTGACTCCAGATTGTCTTTCTCTGAAATTGGATAAATTGTGGTTAATTATTCAACATTGGGTTGGGTTTTGAATAGACCCGTGAACATCGCGTTGTATACAACGCCACGCTCTTGTGTCATTTCGAACCTAGCGAAACGGATCTGCCATACATAATTTTGTATGCAGGTTGAGTACTTACTTAGAATTCTATATTCACGCGTGTTCAGGATGTGTCATTTCGAAGAAATTTGCCGAAAATGAAGACCCATGTCATGAACTTCCACTTCGGGTTGACAAATTAATTTGTTTTAAGAGACGAAGTTCACCAGAAATCAAGAACATGAAGAAGGTGTCATTGCACTTTGCAGTGCCAGTGTCATTTTTTTGTCAGCTGTTTTGGTGAGTCTTTCAACCTTATTTTTTCATATAGGAACGGGGTCCTAAAGGTAAGGATTAGGCCTACTAATATTTTTTTCTAGCCGATGCATGTTTTTAACCCAATGGGTGTGACAATAATTACAATCCACACAATAAAATATTTACCACTGTTTGCATTTTCACTTCCAATGGAGGCTGCCATCTTGAATATTTTTTGGAGGGGTCAAATGGTGGCGCTGTCACGCCCCAACTATCGCATCGGTCCCAACTATAGTTGGGCCTGTCCCAACTATAGTTGGGCCTGTCCCAACTATAGTTGGGCCTGTCCCAACTGTAGTTCCACAGTTGGGCTGTCCCAACTATAGTTGGGACTGTCCCAACTGTAAGTTCCATTGTTGGGCTGACCCATCTATAGTTGGGCCACTCCGATCTTTTTATTTTGCGGTGTCCCAACTATAGTTTACATTGATGTACAACCATAAAACGTTCCCTACAGCTCTGATACACGTCTGACTTTACTGGGGACCACTAAAATTAGCTATTGATGGGGCGAATCTATAGTTGGGCCACCCCAATCTTTTTATTTTGCGGTCCCAACTATAGTGTACATTGTTGTACGATTATAAAACATTCCCTACAACTCTAATACACATCTGACTTTACTGGGGACCAATGAAATGATCTATGGGTGGGGACCATCTGTAGTTGGGCCACCGCAATATTTTTATTTGGCAGTCCCAACTATAGTTTACATTGATGTACGATTATAAAACATTCCCTACAGCTCTGCTTACATGTCCGACTTGGGACCTTTGACATTAGCTATAGGTGGGGCCTAGCTGGAGTTACCCAGCCCTGAGTTTTATCATTGGGTTGTGACAACCCAATGATAAAACTCAGGGCTGGGTAACTCCAGCTAGGTGGGGCCCATCTATAGTTGGCCGGCCATGGCAATCTTTGAATTTTGCAAAATGTTGCTGGATAATAAAACCCAGCAGCTGGACAACTCATCCAACTAGGCAGTACCACGTGACCAGCCAGCCTTGCGGCATGCATGCACGCACGACGAATACACGGTGCCAGCGCCGCGGAACATTTAATCCAACAAGATCTATCAAGCATGAAGCATCCGGCGCAACTCCCGTCCTAACTATAGTTGGGCCGACCCAACTGCCGCACTATAGTTGGGACAGTCCCAACTATAGTTGGGACCGATGCGATAGTTGGGGCGTGACAGCGCTGTGTAATTTAAATGGGATTTTTTTAAGCAAATGAGGGCGCTATATACACACCACGAAAATAATCCGAAACCCGGGTGTTATTTAAGGCAAAATTTCACTCAAACATTGCTTCAATTAACGTGACAAATTCAAGTAGATATACGCCCAAGTATTTTTGATTTTCGGCTATTATTAAGCCAGACACGGACGCAACCGTATCACTGTGCTCACTCCTTTTTATGTTTGGCGCAAATTTCGTCTTTTCTGATGAACAATCTCATCTGCCACAGTTGATCTTTGCCTGCTTTCCATCGGCATCGTGACCGTCTTGCCGAATTGAACATCTTCGTTCAACTTCAAGTTCAACAACATGGCTACTCTTGAGTGAGGTTCAGTCGGCCTCAGGTTCACCTACATCTCGGCTCAGGTAGGCCTGCATTCCTGCAATATTAACACGCACGATATAATAATGAAGTATTTCACTATTTGATGTTTATTTCACTATTTCACTATATGACGGTGATTGTGAAGTTTACGACACTTCGTTATGGCGATCGTGTAGTGTAGGGGGCCCCTGTTTTGTTTCGATCGAATATATTGAGAAAAGTCTGATTAAGATTGACAATATCACTTATCAGCCATGTCAGCTTTAGTTTTAGTAATAAAAAATATTCTTGATTCGGAAAAAATGTTGCAACCTGACATGCCTGAAGCCACTTTTTTCTTCATATAATTATGAATGATCATGAAGGTCAGTCATTACAAAAATGATACTTGGTGGGACATGAATCTGTGACATTTGCGGAGTAACTATTGACAATAGAATGCAGGGCCACGCTGGAAAAGGTTTTTTTTTTGTAGTTGGATGCAATGTGAGGAGTTGGTTCGTTGAGTAGAATAGAACTCTTTTGAGAACGAAGGAACGTTGGTATATGAGACTTCTCCTATGCGTACGCCGGTACAGTATACGCAGCGCTATGGATCTTTGGTATGAACGTAGTATAAAAAAAGGTAGTGTATACTTTGCCGGAGGTATCGCCAGCAAACTAACGTTTACTAAAGGTTTGCCGGCGGCAATCCATATCAACAGAGGGCGCTGTACTCTTTAAGATAGGGCTGAATTATATTCGAATCCTGATCCCTGCCACAATTTAAGTTTTTTTTTTTCCCATCCCCAAATAAATAAGAATATTCTTCTTTTATTATTTTAATATGTCTCAAACATTTTATTGCAGAGTATTACTTTTTCTTTTTCAGATTTGTGGCTCTGGAGGATTTTTTTTAAAGGGAAATAAAGTCCGAAATTATAAAATGGTCTGATTCCCATCTTGTAAATACCAAAATACAACGATAATATTGGCATGGAGCCAGACTAAAATTTGTCACCGGAAAATGTCTAAGTACAAAAAAACAGTAACTGCGCATGGTTCAGTGCATATCCGGCAAACTAACGTTTACTGGAGGTTTGCCGTCTCCGGCAAAATATCCACTGCCATAAAAAAATAGAGGGTGGTATAAAGAGTGAACGGGCATGAAGTAAATTGTGATCAATAGAGGGCGCTATAGAGAGTGAATTATTGACAAATACGTAGTATATATACCAAGTGAGACGGCTTGGGATGTCTTGGATGTGTGGATGCGCGGATGCGGGTGGATGAGTATGAAGTCATCAATAGAGGGTGCCTTATGTACCCGAGGACCCTCTACTGTATTTACCCTAGGACCCACTGCTTTATTTCCCTATCTAAAACCAACCCCAACCTACCCACTCATTCTGTCTTGGATGCGTGGATGCGCTGATGCGCGGATGTGGGGTGGGCATGAAGTAAATTTTAATCAATAGAGGGCATTTTATTGGATGCCTGGATGTGTGGATGCGGGGTGGGCATGAAGTTAATTTTAATCAATAGAGGGCGCTTTATTGGATCCCTGGATGCGCAGATGCTTGGATGCGGGGTGGGCATGAAGTTAATTTCAATCCATAGAGGACGCTTTATCGGATGCGCGGATGCGCGGATGCGCGGATGCGCGGATGCGCGGATGCGCGGATGCGCGGATGCGCGGATGCGCGGATGCGCGGATGCGGAGTGGGCATGAAGTAAATTTTAATCAATAGAGGGCGCTATAGAAAACAGACTGCGCATCCACACAGCCATGGATGCGCGAATATAGAATGGAGTAGCCCTGTATTCTATAGTTGTACCACAACATTTTCTTGACTCTCCATAGACTTTCTACAATCGTGGAAGTGGCGTCAGGTTGCAACATTTTTTCCCTTGATTCTTTTCTAATTTGATGGAAACAACACAGGGGCCCTACATTACACGATTGCCAATAAAAAATAAAAAATTAAAAGCCCCCGCCTCCTCCCTTTAAAAAAAAAACAAACCCGGATGTTGTTATTTTTTTTTACTTGGCTTAAAATGGTGGTATGCCCAACCCCACGTAAAGCATAATCTGTTTACTACAGTATACTAGTGCAGTCAGATTGCAGCAAAACATGCAGTTGGATATTGAAGGGGTGGGTGGTTCGGAAATGTATTTTTATACAGTGTCGCAGGCTTATTATGAGTTTAGTTTTTAACCTTAACAGAACTCAACCCATCAAACCCCAATGGCATGTTTTGTTGGAATCTGTCAGGATGGGTACAGTACCCCTAAACTGACAGTCTTTTACATTGGGTTGGCACACCTCCAAAATCAAAGTCAGAAATATGTGTGTGCAGTTTCCCACACGGTGTTGGAATTTGCCGGGATGGGTATGGTTCCTAGTAAATCATGCTGGAGGGTGTCTTCTGCCGGGTCGGACACGTCGGGTCGTCCTAATTTTCCCGTACGGACCGGGGATCCGTTTCGTCAATTTTTTTGTGACTGCGTTTTTGCTCACAAATGGCCGTTGTGTGCGCTTTCACCTTGACTGCCTGGCCGCCCTCTGTGTTGGCTATTCTGCGAGGCAAGACTGTGCGAGGTCAGCAGCTTCAACGTAGGGGTTCCGTTTGCGTGTTCTACTTGCCCGTTCTACAACAGTGTTCACCAAACAGTAGTCTGGGGTGACCTTGGCAAAATATTTTTTCTCCATGGTGCGTGGCCACCAAGTGTCCCTATTGTTTCCTCTATGCTTTGCTTGCCGCCGGTCTGCCGAGTGCAATGAATACTTAGAAGGATCACACATTAGTATGACTTGCGTGGTCTGCCCAATCAAAAGCCTACACTGCCTCATAAAACCGTCGATGGCAACGCGTACTGCAGCCTGCTCGACACCCTGGAAACGAGGTTGGGTCTACAGTGCTTGCTATTTTAAGTACAAGCATGTGACGTGATAGGCTGCTGTTGCTTCCATCATGGCTAATGTTGTTCGCTGCCCGCTACATACAGTGTCGCGTTATAATTTCGGGGGCCTGTTTTGGGATCAACAAAGGATCGATGCATTGCTTCAAATATCGTGCTCATTGAACTGCCGGTACGTTGGGTTGGAATAACGAAGACGGAAGAGTGCATAAATAAAACTATCCATTGGCGGTTGTTGGCTGTTTGGCCTGGCTTTATTATGGTTGACATGGTTGAACCAACTTGAATAAAAGTTGAATCAACTTTTTCCTCGCAGGTCTCCATTCGCAAATTGTAAGAAGTTCAAGTTAATGTTTGTTGAAGAGTCCAATACTGTAACTTAATTATGACCTTCTTCCAAGATTCAGACTTTGTAATTTTATGGTAACACTCAACATTTTCATTGCAAATGACACCTTCACGTTTCTTTGCATTATGATATATTGTCAAAACTGTACAATCAGCCTTCGCCTGTGTACTCTTTCAACTACGTTTTCCCACAAATGCGACTGCCTCACAAAATGCCAATTTAACAGACCAACGGGACAATTAACAGACAGTTTTACATGCCATGGGCGTCAATCTGTGGGGGACGGCCCCCCCCCCCACATTTTAAAGCGGGGGAAATCATATCGTTTGGTTCCCCCCCACTTTTTCTTCCCCGAATAAAAAGTGTAGCCCTTTACGATGATTCTAGTGCTCAGATTGGCTGATTCAATGACTCCAAACTCGAAAATGATGTTTAACTTTAACCCTAACGTACCTAAATCCATCAAAATCCACCCCCCTGTTTCGGGGGATTTCGGCGGATTCAGGATACCTCCATATTGAACAAACTGGGGGATTTTGATGGACTCTGGATTCAAAGCCTAGCGGAACTGGCGGATTTTGATGGATTCAGGATACCTCCATTTTGAGCTATTGGGGGACTTTGATGGATTCAGGATCTCAACAGTTTAACTCTTTTGCAATGTTTGTGGTCAAGTAAATACTGCTGGCACTAGCCCTGCCAAGTCTGTACACACATGTACTGGGTGGACTTGCATGTAGGGTCACGTGCTGGAGGAAAGATACAAATAATGCGCGAAAACGTGACGAACGCAACACCGTTTACGCGAAAAGAGCACCATGTGCATCGCTAATAATTATGTGTGCGCATCGCGTAAATACTCGGTGCGCATTTCTAGCTTCGCACGCGTTGAGCTAGGTCACTTGCTGGAGGAAAGCTCCATTACTTTACGTTAATTTGTTGCGTGCCTACGAGAGACAACCAAAATGGCGGAGATTTATCGCACAGTGAATGGGACGCATGTGGACGCACTGCCGATTTACGGGCTGAAACACGCGCTAATGTCTTTCACAAAACATTTTGTGCGCAAGACGTATTCACTTCTGTACTCCATGCTGGGGTCGCCATGCATTGGTGTATTTTGATGGATCCTATGCAACAACACACATCATAATTTTCATGCGAGTGTGGTATCCTGAATCCGTCAAAATCCACCAGAAATTTAGGTGATGGATTTTGAAGACTCTATGGAAAAACATGTTGCATTGTTTTTATGCCACCATGGTATCCTGAATCCGCCAGAATCCATCAAGACTTTTGCTGGTGGATTCTGGCGGATTCAGGATACCTCCATTATCTACACTGGGCGATTCTGATGGATTCAGGATACCAGCATTTTTTGCATGACAAAATTGGTGGATTTTGGCCGATTCAGGATACTTTCTAGTAAAAGAGCCCCAGGAGTTAGGGTTAAAAGATGATCTTTCGCTCAAAACAATTGGGGTTAGTGGTCAGAAATTGCCTCAGATCGCACCACAGACATTGCTTTTCTATAACTGCATGTCTTCTCAACTCAATCCCCCAACTCCCCACATTTTTAACCCCAACACAAATATACGCCCTACCAGATCTATGATCGGGTAAATCAGCTTGTATAAAAATATGCTTAGCAGCCGTACAACATTTAAGAAATGTATTGCCGTTTGCTACACAAAGTTTCTCAACAACATTCCTCACTGTTCATTTTTGACTGTCGCAGGGTGAGCAGATGCTGCTTTTATTTTAAACTCGGGGTGCATACATACAATCTT